AGTCTATCTTGGCTGAGCCCTCAGAGAGCCGCGTGTGGCTCACTGCCACCCAGGCACACTCTGGGGTGGTGGGGATGGTCAACTGCCTCCGACAAGAACCAGGCGGCAACCGCATAAGGTGCGAATGCTACATTATGCTAATGCTAGGCTAATGCATGAACACTGCTCTGCTAATTGTATATAGCTTTACACTTGGATAATGCTACACTTAGAATGCTGATGCTACTGTACATTCAAAATATAAGGGGCACCGCATGCATGTTACAAACTGACCTGCTTCTTCTCCGCTTCCGAAGGTGCGCATTCGTGTCCAACTTGATGCGGTCTTCTGCGGCCCCCTCCCTGCTTCCGTCACACAAAGACATGCAGTCTCTCCTGGAGAGGGACCTGAGCATCAATGTGTACCGTGATGGTCAGTGGGGCGTCTTCAGGCACCAGCTCATCCCCCAGGGTGAGGATCTGTCTGCTTGCTGATATGGAGCTCACTAAGCAGTTAGGACCAGGCTGTGGGCAGTTAGACCAGTGCTGTGCAGCTGTGATGTCGTGCTTTACACTGTGTGTGTGTGTGTGCGTGCGCCCACAGAGTTGAGCGAGGAGCCCACAGAACAGGCCTACGTCAATGTGCTGACTCGTGGGGACCTGTCATCCTTGCGCTGGATCGTATCCCCCCTGCGCCACTTCACCCCCGACAGCCCCCATGTGCAGCTCTGCCGTGTCTACTACTCCTCCCTGAATTTCCGTGACATCATGCTGGCCACCGGCAAACTGCCACCAGACGCCATCCCAGGTTCGCTCAACCTTTTCACGTGTCCCTCATTAAGCGCCTGGCATTGTCTGTCTTCTCATACGCCTTCCATCATCTACAGGAGACTTGGCCCTGCAGCAGTGCATGCTGGGAATGGAGTTCTCAGGCCGAGACCCCAGCGGGCGGCGCGTGATGGGCCTCCTTCCCGCCAAGGGCCTGGCCACTTGTGTGGATGCGGACAAGCGTTTCCTGTGGGACGTGCCCTCCAGCTGGTGAGGGCAGGACGGCGTTGGCATGCCGTCTAACTGCGGCGCCGAAGGGTGTGACCCGGCTGGTGTGGGCCCCGAGTGTGGCCACATGTTAATGGGGGTGTGCTCTCCCTGGCAGGACTCTGGAGCAGGCAGCCTCGGTGCCTGTGGTCTACGCCACTGCTTACTACGCCCTGGTGGTGCGCGGAAGACTGCGTCCCGGCGAGAGTGTGCTCATCCACTCAGGGTCCGGCGGCGTGGGCCAGGCCGCCATCGGCATCGCGCTGAGCCAGGGCTGCCGCGTCTTCACCACAGTGGGTGGGTGCCTCCAGTCATCCTGCGATGGTGAAACGTGATCAAAGTACAACAGTGCTGACACTTCTCGTGTTCGAGCTCGGCAACTGATGACGGGGTTATGTCCCGATGAATTAATCTTAAGTGGAAAATATCGAGTTTCATATGATAAATGGGTAAACAAACGCTGTCAATCGTAAAATTGAAATATCTTAAGTCGACCAATCTTGGAGAGAGTGATATCTGTGTTGTGCAAGTTCTGGTCGGAGTCGACCTCCTGACCTTTGATCTTTTGTAACAGGGTCGACCGAGAAGCGGGCCTACCTGCAGGAGCGCTTCCCGCAGCTGACGGCCGAGTCCTTCGCCAACTCCAGAGACACCTCTTTCGAGCAGCATGTTCTGCTCCACACGAAAGGGAAGGGTGAGTAAAGATTCCTCTGGTGGAACGGCGCTTGGCTAGCACAGCTGGCAATGAAGACAAATCCCGGCACTGCTGAGCGGCCGCTGACTGCGTGTGTGTCCTTCAGGAGTGGACCTGGTGCTCAACTCTCTGGCTGAGGAGAAGCTGTTGGCTAGCCTTCGCTGCCTGGCCAGGCACGGCCGCTTCCTGGAGATCGGAAAGTACGACCTGTCCAACAATTCCCCACTAGGTGAGCCAAAGCCTCCCTTCCAGGCCCTGCTTCTGCCTCGCCCCCGACGATGCACCCTCAACCAGTGTTCTGGCCTCCCACCACAGGGATGGCGCTCTTCCTAAAGAATGTGGCTTTCCATGGCATCCTGCTGGATGCCCTCTTCGAGGAGGGCAACAGAGAGTGGGAGGAAGTGTCACAGCTCCTACGGGAGGGCATCACGGCGGGTGTGGTGCAGCCACTGCGCACCACTGTTTTTGCAAGGGACCAGGTGGAAGAGGCCTTCCGCTACATGGCTCAGGGCAGGCATATCGGCAAGGTGCTGCTGCAGGTAAGGCTGCTGTCCGGCTCCGCCTTTCCCCGCTGGCTCTGCGAGGACAACGCAGCTTTTCACGCCAGTGTTTCTACAGGTTCGCACAGAGGAACCTTCCGCGGCTGTGGAGGCCGCCCCGCTCTCGCTGCCCGCCATCTGCCGCACCTACTGCCCTGCCTCCCTCTCCTACATCATCACTGGAGGCCTGGGTGGCTTCGGCCTGGAGCTGGCCCACTGGCTGACCGAGAGAGGAGCTCGCAAACTGGTGCTGACGTCTCGCTCAGGAATCCGCAACGGTAAAGGTGGACTGGCAAAGGTGTTGGCTGTAGAGCCTTTGTCATAAATTTAAAAAAATAAAATAAAAAATGGCCTTCCCAGTAAAATGATTGTTGTTCCCCCTAGGGTACCAAGCTAAGAGAGTACAGGAGTGGCAGGCCATGGGTATCCAAGTGCTGGTGTCCACCAGGGACGTTGGCTCCCTGAAGGGCGCCCAGAAGCTCATCACTGAGGCGGCCCAGCTTGGTCCTGTTGGGGGCATCTTTCACCTCGCCATGGTACAGAGCGCCATCTTCTGCCACAGCCCAGGAGTGCCTGGCACCTTTTGACTTTGAGGGAAGCTTAGTACTTCAAATGTGACCCTGATTCCACTCCCAGGTGCTGAAGGACGGCATGCTGGAGAACCTGACACCGGAGCACTTCCAGCAGGTCTGCCAGCCGAAGTACGACGGGACCATCTACCTGGACAGGTAGGGTGCCGCTCCCGCCCTGCCTGCGCTCAGTGCTGCTGAGCGGGACCTGACCGCGTCCCTCTGCTTCACAGGGTGACCCGGGACCGCTGTCCCGAGCTCCGGCACTTCGTGACCTTCTCCTCTGTGAGCTGCGGTCGCGGCAACGCCGGTCAGAGCAACTACGGCTTCGCCAACTCCACCATGGAGCGCGTGTGCGAGCAGCGGCGGCACGACGGGCTGCCCGGCCTGGCGGTGCAGTGGGGCGCCATCGGCGACGTGGGCGTGGTCCTGGAGACCATGGGCAGCAACGACACAGTCATAGGCGGCACCCTGCCGCAGCGTATCTCCTCCTGCCTGGAGGTGCTGGACCGCTTCCTGAACCAGCCGAGGCCAGTCATGTCCAGCTTCGTGCTGGCCGAGCGGGTGGCGGCCGCCAAGGGCGAGGGTGGAGGCCAGAGGGACTTGGTGGAGGCTGTGGCTCACATCTTGGGTACGTGAGCATCTCACCCGGAGTCCCCTGAACGTGGGCGCCAATCTGGGATGTACCACTGATGTGTGTGGGGGGAGAGGCAGTTTATAATATACCTGCAAATTAAAAGCATATGTTGAGGATGATTCTCTGTGACCTTGGATGAACTTCTGCAGGGACGTCGGTCCTGGAACACTCTGGTACACATCCCGTACTATACTGAAGCCAGTGGTGTAATGGAGAGTCTGGCACTCCCCACTCGCAGTGGAATGTCCCTAATCCTTCTGAAATTATTCGAGCATCTCCCTGCCCCTGTTGACTCTCCTCCGCTGGCGTTGAAGTCAAGTCATAATTCCTCCGGTTTAAATATCAGGTGTTTTCACATCCAAATCTGAGGGGAAAACGCGCATCAAGCTGCATCGGAGAAATGCGCCCATTTTTGCAGTTGCTGTGAAATCTGACCCGTAGAACAATGTGCTCTTTGAGTTGCATTGTACATTTAATGTGTCATTTTGAGTATGTAATATAAATATTTCAAAGCCCTGCTTGGTCAAAAACAGTGAATTAAGTTACATGATTGCACTCTGTCACGCAGGCACACGCACACACACACATGCATACACTTTTGACCTCACACTCTGTCCTCCTCGTTCGGCCACAGGTGTGCGTGACGTGAGCAGCCTGAATGCTGACGCCTCCCTAGCCGACCTGGGTCTGGACTCCCTCATGGGCGTGGAGGTCCGGCAGACTCTGGAGCGGGACTACGACATCGTCATGGCGATGCGGGAGATCCGCCAGCTGACCATTAACAAGCTGCGTGAGCTATCCAGCCAGCAGGGAGGCACCGAGGGTGAGGGTGAGGGTCAACGCCGATTCGAGTCTAGCCACAAGTCTTGGACCTGGTATGGAGATACACGTGTCTTCTCTCTGCCCCCTTGCAGACTCTCGGGCTTCCCCGCTGAGGAAGGGCGGTGCCGGTGCCTTGCTGGACGCTGACCTGAGCCAGCTCCTGGTGAATCCCGACGGGCCCACGGTCACGCGACTGAATGAGGTTGAGAGCGCTGAGAGGCCTCTCTTCCTGGTGCACCCCATCGAGGGCTCCATCACCGCCTTCCGCACGCTGACCGCCAAGCTGAGCGTGCCCTGCTACGGCCTGCAGTGCACCAAAGGTACCCCACCCCCCACCCCGAGCCGTGACTCCGCTTAGGTGGTGCGGTAATCACCTCAATCAGTTAATTCTGCCAAAAAAAGGAAGTAGGAAATGGACTCGTATCTCGAAGGCAGCTACTTCAGTACAAGCGAGGTCCCTGGTGTTAGTGTTTCACCAGAAAAATGTATAAATGGGTAAAAAGCCACTTAAGTTAAATTTCTCAGCTGAGCTGTCAGATGGAAACTTCACCGTAACCTTGTTGAATGCTTTGTTTGGGTGATGAGGTCTAGCCCGTCAGCTTGCACTATATGGTAGCAGTGTCCCCTCCCCGTACTGAATGACTGCTCCTTTCCTCTGCCCCCCCCAAGCGGCCCCGCTGGACAGCATCCAGAGTCTGGCCTCCTATTACGTGGAGTGCGTGCGGCAGGTGCAGCCGGACGGCCCGTACCGCGTCGCTGGCTACTCCTTCGGAGCCTGTGTGGCCTTTGAGATGTGCTCGCAGCTGCAGGCTGCTGGTCGATCCGTGGAGCAGCTCTTCCTGTTTGACGGCTCGCACTCTTACGTGGCGGCGTACACCCAGGTGAGGGGGGGGGCTGGTTTTCACTCCCTTTTTACTTTACCTTTTACTTAGGTTGTTTGGCAGCATAGGTGATTCTCAGGGCATTTCTCTCCCCCCTGAAATAGTAGCAAATTGTCCTGTATTTCCCTACACATTTAGTACAAATGATGTGGATGTGGACCCCCCCCCCTCCCGGAATCAGCCTTGGTTAATAGTAATTATGGCTGTCAATCAGTTAAACTAATTAATCATACATTTTGTTATGAATCGTTTTTCTCAAGACTAAAGCTTGTTATGCATATTTTTAAATGTAAAATCAATCACTATTATTCATTAATGATTAATGAATTAATGAATAATCACAAAGGATGTACATATAACAATGTAGTAGGTCATGAAAGACAATTTAGATAAACTTTATTAATCCCTCGGGAAGGTTCCTCCGGGAAATGGTGTATATAATGGCTTATTTATATGGCTTATATGGTTGCCCCTTAATGCACTGCGTGATGTCGTTAATCGCATTATTTTAACTCGTTAATTTTTGCGATTAAAATAATTAACTAGTTAATTTTGATAGCCCTAATAGTAATTTTCCTTTTCTTCCTTCCTGCTCGTTGCCCTTCATCCTCGGCCCAGATATTATTCTTTGTGTTTAAAAGAACAGAAGCCTGACGAAGTGGCTGCTATGGGTTATTGATTCTCCATGTTCTGTGCACAGAGCTACAGAGCAAAGCTGACCCCGGGTAAAGAGTCTGAAGCTGAGACGGAGGCCCTCTGTGCTTTTATCCAGCAGTTCACTGGAATGGAGTATAACAAGGTGAGTCCCCAGACAAATGCAGGCAGTGTGTTTCCACATTCTCCCACCAGGGGGCGCCGTGCACTGACAGCCCACTCGCCTCGCTACAGCTCCTGGAGACCCTGCTGCCGCTGTCGGACCTGGAGGCCAGAGTGAATGTGGCCGTGGACCTGATCACGTCCAGCCACAAGCACGTGAGCCGCGCCTCGCTGCACTTCGCCGCCTCTGCCTTCTACTACAAGCTGAAGGCCGCCGACCGCTACGTTCCGGCAGCCAAGTACCACGGCAGCGTTGCCCTCCTGAGGGCCAAGACCAGCACTGAGTATGGCGACGGCCTGGGCGCCGACTACCGGCTGCATGAGGTGAGGCCCCCTACCTGCAGGGCTTTGGGGGGGGGGGGGGTCGGTGTTGTTTTCCTTTCCTCACCTGTCACACGTTTGACCTCCAGGTCTGTGATGGGAAGTTGTCGGTGCACGTCATCGAGGGGGACCACCGCACCTTCCTGGAGGGCGAGGGTGTGGATTCTATCACTGGCATCATTCACAGCTCACTGGCAGAGCCCCGCGTAAGTGCCAGAGAGGGTTAGCTCTGCTCTGTCCTGTCCCGGCCAGGGGGGGGGGACGGGCACTGGGACGGCAGCGAGCGGGTCTGCTACGTCATCAGCCTTCTCTTCCTTCTCTTGCTGTATTTGTTTTATTTTTTTGTGGTTTCCTGGAAGGATGTTATCTGGACATACGTTTCAGCCTTAATCTGACCGCTTTCTCCGCCTCTGCTCTCCTTCCATGTTCTCCTTTATCCCTCTTTTTTGTATTGTCTGTTTTGGTTTTGTAAAGGTACAGCTTAGAAGCTCACCTTCTGAAAGCATACTCATGGTGCATGGTCACATGACCACCTATTAACCACTCACATGCTCAGATTACGATGATGACTGTCTGCTAAAGGGCCACACTGCTTCAATCGATGGAACTTTTGTAAGGAAACGTTCCGCCAGCCCTGATGATGCGGACGTCATTAACCCCGACCTTAAAGTAAAGTGTGATTAGACCAGTCAAAAGTAGCATTTGCATGAAGACTTTATTTTACTAAGAGGGCATCTTTGTCTTTCTGGGTGTCACTGAATACATACACACCACTTTGTGTTGGTTGTATTGCCTTGCAAAGGTGCTGCACAGTCTTGGAGTCCGTACAGAATTTCATGTGGGCTATTGATCAGAGTATTTCCATATGGGGAAAAGTACAGCGCCCAGGAAGCATCTTGGGAGTAACAGAAATGGTTGGAATGGTTTTGTCTCTAATGAACGTGTGCAAGCAGCTGAGCTCATATGTGAAGTGACTGAAACTGACCTCTCTGGCTTGCATGGTGCAGATAGTGAGGATTTGCCAAATTACTCTGCTTTGCAGTGTTACCCCCCTCAGTGTTTCTGAACAGCACTGTCTGTTTCATATGACTTAAACTTTAGGAGGACCAGTTGATCTTCTGTACCTGTTCTTCTCTACCTTGTGTGTTGACAAAGTCTGGAAAATATGGTACATGCTCTAAAAAAAATACTGCTGTAGGTCACACTGCTGTTTTAATGTAACGGTATTTCTGGCTATTTAATGCGTAAAATGTATTTCATTAGTGTTTTTTTCTTTTGTTTGATGCAAAATTCTGTGAATGTAAAAAAAAAAAAAAAAACTGACTAATGATATTTGAAGAATAAGCTGGACCAAGGTTACTAAACTGAAGCTGTTTGAAAATATGCCTGAAGTCTGAATAAGCTGCACCGATGCAGAGTGGTGGATCGTGGAAGCTGGATAGCAGAGGGCTGGTGCATCACACAGCACTAGCCTGGTGAGCCCAGAGGTGTCCTTTCACAGAGAATAAAGCGTTACCTGAAAACATTCTTTTCCTGACAGTGACCCACAAACTGGAGAATGTAAGGGGAGGAGGGTCCCAAAACGACTGATCTGATTTCTGAGACTTTTAATCAAGTCGGTGAAGAATTAGATGACTTCCAATTTAAAGCGTAAAGGAGAAACAATGGACTGCCTCTCAAGTTTTTTATTATTTTTTTTTAAATTCTATTATGTAATTTCTGAAGTATTTATTGTACTAGTTGAAATAAAATAGCATCTCAAAATGATGTTGATTCCTTGTCTTTATTTCTGAGCATTAAACATACATACATGTGTAATTTCAGCTTCAAAGTAATCCTGGACAGTTTAGCAGTTGTCTGTTTATTTAACGTGTGTATAGTGTCTGTCTGTCTTGGGTTGGTATGACTCACCTGCTATGTTTCCAAATGCAAATTTATATTCCGTAGTTTGTATTGAGTTTCCATCAAGACAATTGCTTTATAATCTTAATATTGTCAGAATGGTGTATTTGTACTATTCTCTGCATTTCACCATAATTACAAAGACATCAACACTAATATGTGGAATTATGTACTGACCAAAAAAGTATTAACAAAGATAATGATTCGGTTGGATACAAAAGGCAGCCATTAAGAATAAGAAGCAGAATTGATTCACCGTGGAAACTGGGATGGTAGGGTGAGCAGTTCAGAGGAAGCCTTCTGGGTGGCTTTCAGGTGACAGTTTACAGGGTATTTGCATGGCAGAGGGTGGAGATCAATGACAGGAAGGAGGAATCTGATACCTGAAAGTAAAATGAGAAATGTGGGGGTTAGAACATACAGAAAAAGAGAGAGGCAGACAAGGGTAAGAAGGAAAGAGATGAAGATAGAGGAACAGGACGCAGATAAAAGAGGAGAATTAAAAAAAAGTAATCAAAATACAGGAAGTATGCAGGTGTGTGCAGGACAGTAACTGATCAGGCCCCAGTGGTTTGAAATAAAGTGGAGAGTCACCGGTTCATCAAGAAACACACTACATGTTTAGCAGGGCAGAATTTTCTGAAGTTTTCAGGTGGAGGAAGAATAGAGCTCAAGCAATCCCAGGCAATCAGGTGAAAGGAGCAGGAAAAACCAGGAAGTGAGACCACAGGAGCAGGAGAACCCATAAGAGCTGGCCAGAGGAGCAGAAAAACCCAGGAGGTCAGACCACAGGAACAGGAGAACCCATAAGGGCTAGCCAGAGGAACAGGATAACCCAGGAGATCAAACCAGAAGAGCAGGAGAACTGATAAGGGCTGATCAGAGGAGTAGGAGACATTCTGCTTCACTGAGGCTCCACTAGATATGGTGCTGGGCTGTTTTGATGGCCCGGGTTCTACTCCTGTGGTTTGACCTCCTGGTTCTCCTACTCCAGGGGTGCCCAATCTTATCCGCAAAGGGCCGGTGTGTATGCGGGTTTTTGGGATAACCTGTAGGTCAGCTGTTCAAACCCAGGTGTGAGGACTCTTCAGCCAATCAGTCCTCTAATTAGGGAGTTGCAGCAAAAACCTGCATACACACCAGCCCTTTGCGGATAAGATTGGCCACCCCTGTCCTACTCTTTTGGTTGGTCATTATGAGTTCTCCTGCTTCTGTGGCCAGTCATTCTGGGTTCTCCTGCTCAGATGAGTCCAGGATGTCAGACCACAGGAGCAGGAGAACCCAGGAGGTCAAACCAGTCCAGTACCGTATCCAGTGGAGTCTCACTGTGCAGGATGTCTGCACAGCATTCACAGTTATTGTTTCACTGGAAAAAATTAATAAATGAGACATTTATCAACCTGTAAAACTATTTAAAAAGTAAAGATCAACTGCAGAACTTTTCTATTACTTCACCATGACCAGGATCAAGGGACACCACCCACAATAATTTAATATATCACTTAGCAAAATCTCCAGTGACAAAAAATGTACTGTATACAATTTTATGTCTGAGAAAAAAAAAAGATCACTATTCACTTTGAACAATATATGATCAAAATACATAGAAACATATATTCATAAATTAACTAATTAATTATATAAATTAAATACCTTTAAATATACCCACTAGGAGGCACTAACTTCCAAATATTTACCAGTTTCAATACTGGAATACGAAAAAAGAAAGAATTTCTGTAATAAGCACCATACATCTTTTTAGATGAGGTTTCCGATCGGTCATATTTGAAAGTGACACAAATGTCGCGAGCGAAACCCGAAGTGTAATACATGTAACACCAATCGAGCTGTGACTGACGCCGAGGTGGTTCGCGCACCCGGCGGACGCCTGGTTACGAGTGCAAGCCAGCTGTGAGATCTGGTCAGTATTTGCATATGACACTTCATGTCTTCTTCACTATGTGAAATTTTGTATTCCGATAATCGGATATTGATTCTAAGAATCGTTTGAACAAATAAAACTGCTCCACATGTGCGAGTAAATTGGAAGCTGGATTACATTTAACATGTGCGCACAAACTTCCGATCCCCTGTAGATTTATATCTGTAGTTTTAACGTGATCATTTGCGGAAGTAGCTTCAGTGACATTAGTATGGGTCGCTGGTTAAGTCAGGAGACGTCCTGACATTAGCATTGTAATATCTAGTGTGTCGATCTTGTTGGTAAGCTAGCAGTTTTCAGCATGGTACATTGTCTAGTCATGGGCACAAGCACTATCCCAAGTAGGCTAGTACGTCACTGTCTTCCAGTTACAAGTTAAAGTCAAATTAGGGGTTTGTACCAGACGATCTCTTCTAATCCGTCCATATGTTATCCACATGTTTTGTACCTAAAGCCACTTAATATTTTCCCCTTTGTATAGTGTGGAGCAGATCGTGTAACAGAACAAAACCAGGGGGCAAAATTAAATCAAATAACTACCTGTAGAACCATGCTACAAGTTGCTGTAATATTGCGTGTTTTATAGTTCCCTTTCAGTATTCGATCTAAGCATTTTAAACGATTTCGCCGCTACGGCCAATTCCAGTTTTATTATGTAGTAATATTCTGTACGTATATTGATTTAAACAATTAAAATGATCACATTGTTACTTATATTCGTAAAGATCTTCAACCTGTCGCAATTGATTTTAAAACAGTTTAAAGGAAAATTCATGTTCTGCAGTCATACAGTCAGTATTTCACCATTAATAACGCTTAATATATATCTGATTACGTTATACTGAAGGTTACTTTTAAGCCTCCTGAATACTGAAGCTGTTTGCGATTTCCCTAAACTCACCCTGGTTTCTAACGCTTTCTCCTCCGTAAGCTTTCATCATGAATAAGCTGCAAGGGTTTGAGTTCTGGAAGATTACCCTGAAGGGGGCACGTTACGTGGTGGCCCCGATGGTGGATCAGAGCGAGCTGGCTTGGAGGCTCCTGAGCCGCAGACACGGCGCCCAGGTCTGCTACACCCCCATGCTGCACGCGCAGGTCTTTGTGCGGGACGGCAACTACCGGCGCGAGAACCTGTATGCTGAGGTTTGCGCAGAGGACCGGCCCTTGATTGCACAGGTGAGCTCGCGCAGCAGCGCCTCCGGCTCTTCACGTGCCCGGTGCTTCCTACATGGCCCTTATGTGACTTCCCTCTGTGCAGTTTTGTGCGAATGACCCAGAAATGTTCATCAAGGCTGCACTCCTGGCTCAGGACTACTGCGATGCCATCGACCTCAACCTGGGCTGCCCTCAGATGATCGCAAAGCGAGGTAGAGGACTCACTGGATGGAGGATACAAGCTGTTAAACTGCAGAGGATTTATGTTTTTACCATCAAGCGGACATATGTTTTAGTTTAAACCTATCTCTGCATTTTCCTAGGTCATTACGGTGCCTTCTTGCAAGAAGAGTGGAGTCTTCTGGAGAAGATGGGTGAGCTTATGGTCATCTTGTTGCCTCAGTATCGGGGTAATGGTTCCTGTCCCTCATATCTTAATGTCCCCCCGTGTGTCTAGTGTCACTGGCCAATGACAAGATTTCAGTACCCATCACGTGCAAGATCAGAGTGTTCCCGGAAATTGAGAAAACCGTGCAGTACGCCAAGATGCTGGAGAAGGCCGGGTGCCAGGTATGGCGCACGCCGGCAGGTCGGGGGCGCGGTCGCATGTAGCCTGAGATCCACGAGCTCATAGCCTGTGCCCATGTCATGCCAGCTGCTTACCGTCCATGGCCGGACCAAGGAGCAGAAAGGGGCCATGACAGGCGTCGCGAGCTGGGAGCACATTACTGCTGTCCGGTACGTTCCAGAGCCAAGATCTCAGGGTTACTTTTCAATGGCTCAGTCCCTCCAGGTGGAAATCAGTAGTGTAAGTTTCTGGGTGGTGCAGTGGTGCAGTGGTGCAGTGGTGCAGTGGCTCAGTGGCTCACACTGCTACCTCATATTTCTTGGGGTGGATGTTGGAATCCCTCCTCTGCTCTGTGTATATGTGGAGTTTATAGCTTCTTTCTGTATTGCTCTTTTGTTTGCTCCTATAGTTAACATGTGGTTAAGTGGCTTTTCTGCATTACTCTGTGTGTGTGTGTGTGTGTGTGTGTGTGTGTGTGCGTGTGCGTGTGCGTGTGCGTGTGTGTGTCAGAGGTGGATAGTTCAGGTCCAGAAAGTAAAAATCCAGACCGGGATTTTGTTCCACCACTTGAGTACTCTTTGACTTTTTATACTCAGCTGGTTGGTTGCAACAAAATCCTGGTCTAGATTTTTACTTTCTGGACCTGAACTACCCACCTCTGGTTTGTGTGTGTCTGTGAGCCCTGTGATTGAGTAGCATCGCAGCCAAGGTGCCCTCATGCTTCTCCCGGCTCCTGGCTGTCACCCTGTTTGTGGGATGGAAGGTGGGAGCAGGTGCATATGGGTTTGTAGGCGGCCCTTTGTGATGGAAACCCCAACTCATGTTGTGTAAATGTGGCCCTTGCAGGAAGGCCGTCAGCATCCCCGTCTTTGCCAACGGCAACATCCAGCACCTGAGCGACGTGCAGCGCTGCATGGAAGAAACGGGTGTGCAGGGCGTCATGAGCGCAGGTATGGGCTGCAGCACCTGCGGGAGGTCAGGCTCTGTGGCTCTGAAGTCCGAACCAAGTGCCACGGGGAAGGGGGGGTGGCTGCACCACCTGCGAGAGGCCAGGCTGTGGGGCTCTGAGGTCCGAACCAAGTGCCACGGGAGAGGGGGGTGGCTGCACCACCTGCGAGAGGTCAGGTTCTGGGGCTCTGAGGTCCGAACCAAGTGCCACGGGGGAGGGGGGTGGGTGGACCATGTTCTTGGAGTGCTGTATATCAGCGGCTGCTTGGCATCCAGGACGACCCCGTTATGTTGAATTTCTACACCGACTTCATGAGTTGAGCTCTAATCAGCTCACGCCACCTCCTGCTCATGATGAACAAGCTTCATCCTGCAGTTTACAGGACTTTAGAAGTGCTGATCTGATAGAAGTGCTTAAACTGATAGATCCCATATAAAAAATTTAAAGGGTAAAATCCTAATATTTTAAGCTCCAGTGTCCTTGAAATAGCTTTTTTGTGGGGTGCTGGAATGACGTGAGCGATGTTCAATAACATTATTATGGGATGCTCAACCACCATCAACAAACGTGGGTGTGATTGTGTTTACTCTCCTGCAGTGTTGACTCTCGAGAAGTGTATAGACAGCTGCAGAAAAAAATTCTCAATTTATAGGTGTACGTCTGTGCATAATATGTGTTTTTTTTTTTTCCCCAAACTGCAGCCTAGTTTCTCATTGATGAAGGGCTTCTTCCTTTCTTTATGGGACTTCAGTCCTGCTTCTAGGAGCCTGGTACACACTGTCCAAGCCGTGCACTTCACACCTGCACCTAATGTTTCCCATTCCTTTTGAAGGTCACTTGATGTCATCCTACAGTCGCTTCTGGTCTTTTTCCTGGCTGGTTTCGGGTCGTTCTCAGTGTCTCCTGCTTCGCCTTATTCTTGTGTGCTGCTGTCTTGGAAATTATGAACCTGGAAGCATCCTGCAGCCAGAAGAACCAGGATAAAAACAGGATTTAAGAATGCAGATTTGTTTAAAAATTAAGTGGTCTCTTAATTTTTTCTGCGGCTGTGTATGTTTATTTTTAGTCTATTCCATCTCTTGACAGTGGGGGGCTGCCTTGTGCTGTGTTCATTGGCGCTTGTATTTAATTTCAACCTGGAGATACAAATAGTTTTTCCTTTGGAGGGTAATTATTGGATTAGTGCTTTTATCCATGGACTCTAAGCATCTCTTTTTTTTACGTAACTGGCCACACTGCCTGCAAAGCTTTATTGACAAATTGGCCGCGCCGGTTCAAGGTAGTTAAAGCCTCACAGCACTGTTTCTCTTAGCAAGAAAAACAGTCTCTTGGTAAGTGCAGATTAACTGCTGCATAACTCTGAGGTGTTCTGCTGTCAGCGGCTGGTCCCTGGCTCACCGTTTGCATTTGTCCCTTGCAGAAGGTAACCTTCACAACCCAGCCCTGTTCGAGGGCCACAGCCCGCCCGTGTGGGAGATGGCAGAGGAGTACCTGGAGGTGGTCCGGCAGTACCCCTGCTCCCTGTCCTTCGTCCGTGCCCACCTCTTCAAGCTGTGGCACCATACGTGAGTGGCCCACCTGGATCATGTGATCGGGGTTAATGTCTGGGTCATGTGATCGGGGTTAATGTCTGGGTCATGTGATCGGGGTTAATGTCTGGGTCATGTGATCTGGGTTAATACTTTGTTTACCCCAGAGAATGGGGCAGCTGTAATCCATGGAACTCTGTTGGAGCCACACTGTCACCATAAATATAGTTTTTTATATATATATATAAATCTATTTTATTATTAATCTATTTTCAAGGGGGAAAAGTAAAGCAATAGAATTTATTGAAATTTTTAGCAGAAAAATTTATCAGCCTATCCAGTAGTTACCCAGGACCCATAAGTCAGACTCATTGAGGAGCAAGAGATTTGAAGAATTAAATGTGAAGAAGATCAGCGAGGAGGATTTGGGGCTGCAGTGAGGACGTGGTGTGCCTGCAGTTTGCAGATCCACACGGACCTGCGGGAGGAGCTGGCCAAGGTGCGGACGCTGGAGGGGATGGCCGAGCTGAACGCGCAGCTGAAGCGGCGCTGCCAGGTACGCGGCGTCCTCCTCCTCATCCTCCTCCTCATCCTCCTCCTCCTCCACACACACGCACCTTCCTCACCAGCCTGCTGAAAGCCTGCCCCTTTTCACCGTCAGGAGGAAATGGCTCGTCAGGAAGCTGGGGAGGACCACGGCAGCCTGCCCTTCCCGCACTGGATATGCCAGCCCTACGTCCGGCCAGCGTGAGAGAGCGTCTCCGTCCCTCCTTCTGACTGACTGCCCAGCGAGGGCTGGGAGGGTCACGCTTAGGGGTCACTGATGTGTCTAACATACCCTCCTGGCTCTTGGCGTGTCTTCCTGCCAAACACCCAGTTCTGTTGCTCTCTGCCTGCTCTACTGGCATCACATTGCTGCTTTGAATTCTTCACTATGCCATCTGTTGGCAGGTCGTCCAGTGTCTCTCGCTGTTACTAATCCCCATCTGAGTCTTCCCTAACTCTCCAGTAATGGCAGTCACTGCCTGACCTGATGCACAGTGTCTCACCAGAGCATAATGAATCTGGTTGGTAATCACTTCTTCAAGTTTTTTTTTTATCCTTGACCATGAGGGAACGTATTGGATTCCATAGTTTTTATTTTGTCGTTGAATTTGTGAACTTTTTCCAGTCTGAATTCTCCAGAGCGTCAGAGATAGAGGGCCGGTTTCTGACAGCCTGCTAGTGGATTAACTGATTTACTTCTCAGATTTACTGCTTCAGTATGCTGAGCTCTTATTCATCTGGATGGTGATCTCATTCAGGCCATCTTAGAAACGCCCGCCATGCCAAGATATATACACTTTTTGCCAAGTCTGTCAGATCATTGATAGGGTCCCCTCTCCCCCCTTCACCATGCCCCCCCACCCTTGGCATTGCAGCCCGAAGGGTCCTGGCAGTGAGAACGGGCAGCCCGGCTCTCAGCCGAAGGCAGTGTGTGTGAAGAGGGCCCTGGCGGATGCTGATGCCCCCCCAGAGTACCTCTCCAGAAACAAGCAGAAGAAGAAGGCGCGCAACCCCAACAAGAACTTCAGCATGGAGCAGAAACGTAAGGAGCCCTGAGTCTCGCTGCCCGCAGCCGAATGCCCCATGTCCCCGTCTGCCCCATGCCCCCGTCTGCCCCACTCGGCCCGCTTACCACCTTCCTCAGCCCTTACGTTCCCTCATAACGTTCTTTGGGCTTTTCCCAAGGCCTCATTGGTCCCAAATTCCAGGCGAGTTCCACACGTGTTTATACTGAACGTGGCACAAGAATTTGCCCCCTCCCTGCCTGTGCCCCCTCCCCGCTGCCCGTTAAATGACCATCAGTCAGGAATCCAGCCTGACCTTTTGCCTTATTGTCTCCCCTGCAGCCAAATACATCAAATGCGAGCAGTGCGGAAACCCCAAGGTGAGTCCTTTTAGCAGCTCTGTGAATGTGGACCCAAGCTGAGGGTCGCCGTGGCCGAGACGTGGCCCCCTACCCCCGGGCCTGGATCTGCACTGTGTCTGTCACCAGCGTGCGGGCAGAGGGACAAATGTGGTGTCTCTCTGCCAACGGGGGGAGGTGATGGTGGCTGCGTTTCGTCTTGTTGAGGGCTGGTGGGCTTCAGCTGTTTGGCTGCTTCTATCCAGCTGGCACGAGCTTGCTTTGTGGGGTGAGGGGGGTGGCCATTTTGGCAGCAGTTTGAGGGTAGCTCGCCTGCTGGGCTAAATTAGGAAGCCGTTAAACTGGGGGTGTGCAGTAATATCTGAGCTGTTATTGCGACACCCTCCTGCTTTTACCACAATGCAAAACATAAACTCCCGTTATTTAATGGGGGTTGAGTGTTACAGCAGCATTTAGACACACTGCAAAGCGAAATGACATTTTTATATGCAGCCGGTAGCCTTTCTGCATTTATAGGTGGACAGAGGTGCAGCGGGTAGCACCCTCAGGGTTGGGGGTTCGATTCCGGCTCCTGCCTCTGCATGGCTGCTGCATGTTCCCTCTGCTCATTTGGGTTTCATCCAAAGACATGCGGTTAGATGTACGTATTGCAGGCTGGACATCGCCTCTAGCATGTGTGTGTGTGTGAGTGTGTGTGTGTGCGTGTGTGTGTGAGTGTGTGTGTGCCTTGCGACAGTCTGGCTTCCCTGCCTGTCCCCTGCCCTGTGTCTCCTGGGATAAGCTCCAGGCTCTCTGTGACCCTGTACTAAGTAAGTGGCTCTGGAGGAAAATAACAGTGCTGGCTTAATGTGCCCCTCTAGTATTTCCCTCCAATTTTCAAAGCACCACGGTGTTTTATGAACACACACTGTCCCACCTGTGCCTTGTTGTCCTGCCGGGCATTATGGGATTTCTCATCTCAGGGGCCACCTCCTAACTCTAACAAGACACCATTTTATCAGAAGCACTTTTAATTATAACTCCATTCTTTTAGGCTGCCCGTGCGTTAGAGTCGTGAGAAATTGAGTGTGAGTCACCATGTGTTGCTGACAGTTTGCTGTACGCATCATTTACATTCTAGAAGTTTCCACAGGATACCTTGTCATGGAGGCCTTCAGAATATAACCCTAAGCATTTTTCCTGTGCCCAGGCACTGCTTGAAGGGTCTTGCGGATGGAAAGCTTGTCAACTTAAGAACACTTTGCTTGTGCCAAAACCAAAACCTCGCTGTGTCAGGTCATTATGGTTTTCTCTAGAACAGGGAAAACCTTACATTTTTTTATTCCAGACTATGAGACCGTTCATTTGGTGGGAAGACGTGTAGTATTTGCAGCTCGGCCTTCAGCCGGAAAACGTTTTTTTTTTTTTTGGTTGACATTTTGCATTTAGGTCTGTTTCTGCAAAGAGCAGCATTACTGTAATGAATTAATGTTACTTAAACACAAAGTTAAATTAATAATGCAGGCCTGAACATTATCTAGATAAGTGGCTTTTTAAATAGATGCATATGTAAATAATGCATCAATTACTGGTATAGTGAACAGTATAGAGGTGATATTATTATTATTTATTATTATCATCATCATTTACCAGGCCATCACTGTAATCAAGTAATTGCAAGTGATTGCACTGTAATTAAGTAATTGAATAGGTAACGCAGTGGGCAGGCCTATGTCTGAAACCTAAGTAATCAGCAGTGCACCTTCATAATGGGAAGTAAGTGGTTGTCGCTACGGCAACGTGTATTGCTTACATAGAGTTGAGTACCGATGATTTGAGTTCCGGGAAGGTGCTGAGAGGATTCCGGCCTGATCGGCGGGGCACCTTCTGAAGCCGGAAGCTGATTTGAACCATGAAACCTCACTTGTCCTGCTGTTTGGCTGCTTTGATGAACAGGACAGGAGTTCAATTGGGCAACACAGTGTGTTGTTACTTGTTTTATCGGTAGGCTACTGTAATCATGCCTTTGTTCTAGGCATTTAACTGCAATTTTAAGTGTAATCTAAGGCCTGCTGTAACTTCCCAATAATCAGTTTGTACCTGATTTAAAAAGTTGCTCTCAGTAATTTGTGAGAGTGATATTTAAATTTTAATTGCTTTCATTAAAAACGGCTGCTGTGCACCTTGATGACCTCAGACATGAGGTGTAAGTAAAGTACCAGCCGCATAAGAATGGAGATTTATTAAGGGTATCTATGGTAACAGATTGCACTGGGATACAACGGCTGAGAGCGCCTTGTTAATGAGAGGTCAGAGGAACATGGCCATACTCGTTAAAGCTGACGGTTGCGCCACAACTGAAACACGTCACTTCTGGAGGCAAATGCGGGTCCGACCCAGTTCTTGCTACGTGTATCAAATAATGTGGCTCTGGAAGAAAGATGGCATAATAGAAAAGAATAAAAATGTTGTGTAAATGTGATCTAAAAGTGTATTATTTCCCAGCTTCAGGCCTGATATATTGGGATTTTGCAAACATCTCAGGTTGAAAGAGAAGCCGGTCCAGAAACTGCTGCCGTGTCCTTTTGGCCTGCTGTGAAGATGAGGTTTAGCACAGGGACAAGACCGAGGTGTCAGAACAGCTTCAGGGCAGACCGCTGTCTTCTGAACATGGTCACGTTGTCCCAGGAACGATATCTAATGTAACGTGTCCCGCAGCATTTAGCACTAAGCAGGTTGGCTGTTGGTAGCTGCCTTAGTCAAACTCCCAAACATGGACAACGAACTTGAATGAGACATACTTACCTTTAAAGAGCTTTATTGAAGTTATTGATTCATAGTACAATATGGGTTAATGTTTATTTATATATATATATATATATATATATATATATATATATACTGCGTTAATGCGCAATTTAGTTTCAGGAAGATTTAGTCACTGTATCTACCTACCTATATCATAGTATTTTCAAAGTGAATAATCACCATATTCTAACTCATTACATAATTTAGTATTTTACAAAATAGGTTAAATAGGTTGCCATTGTAATTGTTGAATTTGGACTTCAGTACATCACCTGAAAGCTCCTTATTTCACCAGCTAGTTTGAGTTGCAGTTTGTAGTTATACTAGGGTCATAAAAAGCCATTTATATTGTGTGATATGTTTGACACTGGCTTTGGTTCTTTGTAGTTCTGGGTACCAGAGTGTAAAATCTGATACTTGCAATCTGATACTTTTGTTTAGTCTTAGGTCTCAAAATGTGAACAGTTCCCTTATTTGAACATTCACCCCAGCGCTCAACGGCTAATTAATGAATGCGATGTCTCAGCTTAAGACTGAGTCGGCACTGCGACGGCGGGCAGTTGATGAATCTTTATTACGGGCGATGGATAAATGAGCGGATTTAGCTTGCTGTCACTGATTGGACTGGGCCTTTTGCCTGATTCGATTTTGAGCCTTGATGCATATCGGGCCCATATGCAGTTGAAGGAGGTATGAATAAAGCATAATCTGGTTAATGTTAGCGCCAGATATCGGTTTCCTGGGACTTGGCTGGCGGAGTCTGTGGTGGGTAGCAGAGTCGGGGTCCTGCTACGGGCCAGTCACACTGAATGCAGACGACTATCCAAGATTCACTCAGACAGCCTGTAGATACAGACTGTTATGTTTTACTAGTTGGAATAAATATATGGAGACCCTTCAAACGTGCCACTCCACTCAGGAGTGTAATCAGCGCTCATGGAGAGCAGCAGGTGGTGTCAATAAAGGCCAGGGAAGATCCCAGAGGTGTTCTTCAAATAATGGAAAAACACCTCATAATGATCGAGGAGTTATGCCTAGATAGCTCTCCGATACGTCACCACATTGTACACAAAGCTATCTGTGTCCAGATGGATCTCTCATCACTTGGTGACAAATCCATTCACTTCAAAACTTAGCATGATTATTTTACTGCCAAACTAGTTAGGAAAGATGAAAATAATTTGTAGTACATGATACTTTTGTGCGTGAACTGTATGTGTGCGTGTAAAATTCTTAACATATTTATTTACGAAGTCTCACATTGGTTCAAATCCATCGGTCGACAGTGTGATTACACCGTTGGGGCCTTGAGTAACGCCTTTAAGTCGGGGTTGTATGTCCCTGCTTTCTCAGAAATGTCCATTGCTTTGGATATAAGTGCCTGCTAAATAAATAATGTAGTGCCCCCCCTCCAGACTGTTGAAGCAGGCTACCACACACAGAGTGTAACCCTTCTAATTTGTCTGTTTCCCCCAAAAGCTCTGACGCTGTTGACATTATTGCTTCTGGTGATTCATGCTTTAAAACGCTATTGTCTTTCTTAAGTAATAAAACCAGCTTTTCCTGCTGATTTCTTGGGACGTTTATAACGTGAAGTGGATGTTGTTTTCGCATAATCCCCAATTATATTTACAGCATTGTGTATCTGCCCTTTCAGAAGAACACAGTGCTGACTGAAATTAATACAATGTAGTTTTAAACAATGAACACAACTGAAAAGTGTGATTCACAAAGTGCATAGATGCTGCTTTCATCAAACTTTTCATGGAATCTTCTCTCGTGTTGACATAAGCAGATGATGGGGGAAAAAGTAGCTAGTTGACTGTTCAGTGGGCAAGTAATAGTTTTCTGAATATGTGCTATCAATGGCAAACAAATGCATTTCATGGATATTTCCATTGCTTGATTTTTTTTCCCCCTGCAGTTGTTTATGAAATGCCTTTTACAACAATGTGACATTACAATATTAACATGGCAAGAGAATGTCCTGTGAACTTGGATTTGACAGATTTAGCTACAGCATGTAAACACACATTGTCTTCTGCGTGCCGTGATTGGTTTGATTCCTGCGGCCGAGCGCTTTTCATTCTGAACTCAAGTGCTGCCCACGTTGGCCAACGCGGACCTGAAGGTTTGTTTACCCTCATGCGGTCGTCTGTGCCAGCCTCAGAAAATAGAATGGTCTCCATTGAGCTATTGAATGAAGCAGGAGTCATTTCTCCGCTCTCCACCATCCTGCTCGCTGCTATCACGCTTCAGAATTACATTCCAGAATTTCACCAGCAGCCCTAAAGTAGCCTCGTAGTGCTCTCCAACTAGTACTCCACAATCACTCTCTCGCTCTTCAGTTCCCTGAAAATAATTTCCTTTTCAGCATAAAAAATTGTGACTGCAGCAGGCCTGTTGACTTACATCTACATGAAAGTAGACTAAAGATTTGAGGGCTATTTAAAAATACATTGTTTTGGCTTTGAAACTGGTATTTACCAGTAATGTGGTGATTAAGATATTGTTGTGTTTATGCGCACAGCCTTATAATTTGAAGTTTAAGGTAAGGTGTTCTTTGTAAGGTTGATCATGTAGCCATGATTAACACCAAGTAGATCAGTGGTTGATATGTTTGGAGTGTCTGGTATTTTTATGACCAAATTTAAAAAAATCATAATTAACTAGTTATGTTTTTCACGAGCGATTAAATTAACTGGGGAATGTAAGACAATTAGCCAGCTCCTGCCCCGATGTAGGATGGCAGAGTAAGGATGCTTTAAATTTAATCCATTTATGTTGCTGCATTAAAGGCCTTTTGACAATAAGGACTATTTGTTGATGTTGCTTTGCTTGCACACAAGACCCACTCCAGGAGTCTTAGGCTGGGTTTGAACCCACAACCTTGAGCACTGTAGGATAGCCACCTTACTCACAGACCCGTCGCACTATGCGGGTTGTTAAGTAGCTTTTGGTGCTTATTTGTATTTTTAAACTTGTGTTTCTAGAGATTCATTGACATTTTCCCCCTAATTTAAAATAGTCCATAACTATGTGCATTAAATGCATTTAGTAGCTTGGCCAGAGTAATCAGATTGGTCGAGCCCCCTTTGGCTAGTTGGGAGGGTGTTAAGTGATACACTGGACCTGTTGGTTGATACCATCCTGAACATACTGCCTTCCCAAAAAACCTGTTGCTCCTGAGCCAGACGTGAGCTCTTAAAAGTGACTGTGAGGTGGAATTGTGTTCAAGGGGTGCTTTGGCTAATAGCTAGACAGGTGGCCGTTTCTGCAGCAGGATGGATGCTGAAAGGGCCCCGCCCAAGTAGAACAAAGACAGTGCCCCCTTGTGTTCAGGAGGAAGTAAATGTGACCAGTTTTGTTTACTCTGAAGCATTAATTATAACATTATCTTAATACCCCTGATTTATTGTTTAGTGTTTAACACCGAATCTTACAAGAAGTGTTTATGTTCACTTTATAAGATTCTTCATATGCCGTGTCATGAAACGCAGCGTCACCGTGAAATGGGGGTCACCGCTTAATGCCCTTTCTCTGGGTGTCATTTTTGATGTAAGGACTCTGGGAAGTGTCCATGAGAGGAACAGAACCAGACGTGGTTCTCACGTATTAAAGCCTGAGAGCCAACTGCCAGCTGAAGGGCTGAACGAGTGAAAAACGCTTAAACTAAAAGGAGAACTTGAAAAGTCTGCGCTCCATGGTATACTTTCAGTATACTCTTAGTTTAAGAAAATGTGAATGACTTTCCAGAAGTTGAGGTGTTTGAAGTCACTGAGAACAAAATTAATTCCTTTCTATGATTTTTTTTTTTTAAACATGAACAAAACCAGACAGAGTAAGCGGGGGTGTTTGGTTTTTTTGTAACTGTAGGATTAGATAGGAGAACAGGTAAGATACCTTGGCTTTTGAAGGTCTGGAGAATCAAACAGTCCTTTTCAGACTTTTAAACATTGGTCTCTTGGGGTTTTACTCTTTCACCTGCGAGACATCAATTTATTATTGATGTTATCATTCAGTGTAAATGTCTGCATTTTTGTGCAGACGTCTGGTCAACTAAAATCCCTCAGCTTTGCTGAATCTTGTCGGTAAGCAAGTGATTATGCAAGTGCTGGAAGAGCTTCATTCATGAACCTGCAGAAGTACTGTGAACCGTCTGGAATACACAGATAAAGCCTCTATCTCCCCGGGATATCCCTGATTGGTACATTTTAACAGTGCTGTTGTTCTGGCATGTTGGGTTCTTCATGAAATGTCAAATTTCTTATTGTGTTCACATTTTTAAAGAATTTCAGAAGCAAAACGTCCAAAAATCTATCGATTAATATGACAGTTCGAGTAATCGTTTATATATAATACAAGCACTCCAGTTCACTTAAGTAGCATATTTTTGGGCAGTGAAAGGAAACCGGCAAATCAGCTGAAAAGGCACCCAGACACAGGCATGAAAAGTCCACACGCACAAAGTGTCGGTATGCAGTGACAGCGCTACCCAGTGCGCCACTGTGCCTGGCTGCCTGGGGTTTGCATGATGTGCGATGTTAATATCGACGTGTCATTTCATGCACGTGCAACTGACATCGCAGGGACCGCGATTGTCTGCTGGGTTCAAACCAGGGGCGTTTCTGGCCATTGGAAAAAAAATCATGGATTAAGTCAATTAAGTTTACCTGGGGCGTGACTTTTTTCTTTTAAGGGAGACTGGCCTCGCTATGCAACTTACCAAGCTATGCAATTTTAATAATGGCTCATTTTCAACATTATCTAGTACATGTTTACTGCCCGTTCTTTTGCATATACTTTCCGAGAATCATTCTCGTCCTTGCTGAGCGATTCGCTCGTAGACCGTGCGGCGTGTCCGTGTTTAAGTGAGAAACTAAAATGAGTGAGAAGGAGAGTCGAACAAGGACGCGGTCACGAAAACACATTTTGTCTTTCGCTTAATGGGAATACCGCTGTTTTGCACTTCAAAGAGACGATATTGAGCAAAAGCAAGAAATTTGTCGACACCGCTTTGTGTGTATTAATGGCACAACTTACGGCAACGTCACCAGCTTATTAGATACTCTGCTGCTACATAAATTCTATTTGGCTATATAGTAATATTTTCAACTCCTAAATATACTAAAAACTTCAAATATATGATATTTTCTCAATATTGTGCAGCCATAGAAAGCACAATACGTTCACAAGAAAAGTATATTATATGGTTATTATATACTGTACAATGTAATGGTGTGGCTAATGGACGGGGGAAATCATGTTTTAGCAGGCAATTATTTTCACATATAGGAATAGTAGAAAGTAAATGAAGCGAAATGGATTAAGTCAAAATAATGGCAAAGTCAGGCTAGGCTACTCCGAGAGGCTAAATGGCACGTATCTATATATGGGTAACCTCGCATTATTGGGTGAGTTTGTCAAACCTAAATACCTACTTTTAATTAAGATGTATTTGTATTGCAGTTGTCCTGTGGTGATGTTTAAGTTCTGCTTTGCAATACTTATATACAACTGCACCTTCATTCACTTTTAATGTGACGTGCTCCCACACAGTTGATGCTTTCGCTCTTTATTTGAACCTCCGTCCGCTGTGCGCCGTCTTCCTTCCGCCATATTGCCAAGTAATCGCGAAGGAATTTTTTAATCGATGCGTTTTAATTATCGTTTAATCTAATAATCGTGACGGCTCTACATCAGTGTGTGGCACCCTTAGGTTAGAAGCATGCCTTAACCTAATGAACTTCCATTAGACACTAATGTGGCGATTTCCATTCATATGAACTATCTGTGGCTTTGGTGAAGATACGTGTATTTGTATATATGTTACTTGTTATATGTGCATATATTGTACACACAAACCCATTAGAAGACCTTGTGTCTGCCATAAAGCTAGTCACATGACTGATATTTTATTAGTCATGTGGCATTGTCATTGTTTCGTTCGCGGTTCTAACCCAGTCATGGGTTGTTCCTTTTTGGTGTGATGAGTGGCTCAGCCTGTTGTGAATCGCTGCTGTCTTCCTGAAGGTCACAGGTTCAAATTTGGCATCTGGCTGAGTGATCATACTGCCATCTGTCCTTAACATGATGCCTGACCCTGTGCTCTGACTGTCTGATTATCTGTCAAAGTCGGTGAGCTCTCATGTACTTGTACAAATGGCACATGAAACATCTAACATTTTCCGTTCTGTGTTTCTGCAGGGCAGTAAGTGTGTCTTCAACCTGTGTCGGGGGTGCTGTAAGAAGGCGGCGTTCAAGGCTACAGCTGATTGTCCAGGTGAGCCCTTTCACCAGTGTGCTGTACCACACCCTCTGCCTCCAGACAACCTTCACCCATAAAATGAGTGCGCTCGGCCTCTTCCCCCTACGCTCCCAGAGAGGGCTTCTTATATAGAAAGGGCCAGCTGTGTGCTGTGTGAACGCCCCTGTGGTGCGCCATCGTCCTGTAACGGCAGGAATATAATGAGTGTGCATTGCCATTTATCGGTATTCTGCACAATGCCACTCTGTTGACAAAATAAATGATGATGGATAAACAGAAAGTGGTCCAAGAACTGTTCCTCTGTTTGAGACCCTGGCTGGGTGATTACTGATGGGTGATGACTGATGGTGGATGACTGATGTGGGGGCATTAAGTGACAGCTTCTGAGGACTTGACTTGAGATGGACTCACCTGGGTGTGGTAAATAACATCAATGCCAAAAGTGTCCTTCAGTCTTTTGTGGCACTTAGACGGGCTGCAAGCTAAGGATGACTGTGAGGCCCTGTGTGGCTTAGTGGGTTAGCAGGCTGTGCTTGTTGTTGGAAGGTCATTGGTTTGAATCTCTCAATTTGCAGTGTGATTACACTGTTGGGGACTTGAGCAAGGCCCTTAAGTTGGGGTTGTCTGTCCATGCTTTTTCAGAAATGTCCATTGCTTTGGATATAAGTGCCTGCTAAAAATGCAATGAGTGCCCCCCCAAGCTGTTGAGGCAGGCTACCACACACAGAGCATAACCATTCCACCTTGTCTTTTTCCCCCAAAAGCTCTGATGCTGTTCACAGACTGCATGTTACTCTGTGTTGCTGGCTGTGCATTTGTCTTCCACCCTTGTTCCTGCAAACTGAGTGTCTCCTGGGAAATTTTTTCCACAAGGAAACACATTCCGAATAACAATGGTCACCTTATATCTGTATGCAATAGAAAAGTTTCTCTAAATTCGCTCAGGTCATTTAAACTGACTTCTTGAGGCATCCATTTTTTTTACCAAGAGAAATAAAACATTGGTCTATTATTAGTGGCTGGAACATTAAGGGGATGCTATTGATACATTAATCTGACAGAATAATGTATACAAAATGAATAAAAGATAGGAAAGTTTACAAAATTCCGAAGTATCTTTATCTTGTTGATGGAGGATTATAGCAGAATACTATCAATAATCTGTCTTTTAGGCTAAACTGTAATAATTCATTACGATGAATAAGAAAGTCAATCCAAAGGTAGAAATTCATTGTTTATTCCCATTATAATAATGGTTGTCAGAAGCTAGTGGTCAGATTTTGCAACAACAACCAGATTTTGCTGGCTATCTTTAATTGTCATTGTGCTATTTCAGGTTATATATCAAGCTGCCACTTGGCCAGGTTAACAAATCTACACATTGCTCTCTGAATCAGTAACTCCCCACCTTCCTAAAAAATCCTTTCTCCTCTCTTCCCCACAGGCCATGGGTTGTTGTTTAAGACCAAGTTTGAGAAAGCTCAGCGACAGAAGGCCAGCGAGCCCAACAGACAGGCCAACGGGGAGTCCGTCACGCAGACGTGCCCCACATTGCCCCCAGCCTCACCCGAGCAGCCCAGCAGAGACCCTGTGGCCTGAGGGCGCCCCCCCCTAAGGACATGTGAGCCACCACACACCCCTGAGGGGTGCTGAACAGGGAGAGCTGTCCCCAGACAGAGGGAAAGGAGCGTGACAGTCAGGTTCTGCTGAGGATGACGCGTCGATGACGTACGTTTGACAGGACATCAGTATGGCTGCTTCTGTCACCATTTTTTTTTTTTGCCCATTCAGCTGAATCATTTCAGCCAAAGGCAAGTTGGCTCAACTCCTTGCTATTACAGATGGTACTTCATGGTCAAAAAATTGGCCACTTCTTCTAAACAAAATGTACTTCACCTCAGTTTTATCCCTAAAAAAGCAAATTGAATATGACAAATTGGAGGCTATTCTAGTATCTGGCTTTTGTTCTGGGGTTTGCTAAATGATGTTGGGGAGGGTCATTCTTACGGCACATTAGCCGGAAGCAAACACCTGACATATTATAAGCTTCACTCCAAAAAAAGCATAAGTATGTATCGCAGAAGACTTCATTTTGAACAAAATCTTGGTAAAAATCTTTGGAAATTTTGTAGGATTTCAAAAGATCTGTGCTTTTCCCTGATAGGAAACACTCCCTTCAAACTACACTGTGAACACGAAGGAAAACTGGATTGTGAGCTTCTTAGAATGTTCCGGTGATTGGGAAAGTCACATAGAAAAGCAATTCACAGCTAAAGCCAAATGGACAGCCAATTGCACATTTTAAAAACCATTTAATTTGTTTTTTTTCCAGTTAAGCTAGCAATAAAAAATTAAGGAAATAGACTTTCATACAATGGATGTGGTTACGTGTGCTATTGTGGATTGCTATAGTAACACAAATCAGTTGCTGGGAAACTTAGTTGTTTAGTTGTTCTGACAGCTTTTCTATCACGTCTTGTCAGATCCAGTCCGTTTTTTTATTGCAGGAAGTTTGACATTTGCAGCTTCTTATTGAAAGATTGCAACTGTTTTAATGCATTTATTGCCAAGTTAGCACATCCTGAATGTTTCACACGAACGTCACGTCATGGATGGTGTTGGCAAAGCTTTGGAACAAAATCTACTTGCGGGGCTCCTTGTGTGTCAGGGGGTTTTACCACTTTTTACAGGAATGTGTCCAACCGAGGCCTGTGGTTGAGGGGGCTTTACTGTAGGTAACAGTGTCTAGTTAATACTGGGGCTCAGTGACATGCAGTGCACTGCACTTGGTGGATCGCACTGTGCAGTAGCTAAGCCGCTCTTTGCAGCATCAGCCTGCGCCATGGCTTAACTGACTGCGCCTTTAGCCTGTAATTTATGCAAGAAGATGGTCCTCCAAGTGCAGGTTAAATAATGCCTGCCTCTGTTTTTAATCCTGCTGGATATTTCTTACAGTAGTATTTATGGTCCTCAGGTTGTAGAAATATTTGTCCCTGTCGATCGGAATAAAATTTTTGAAAGAAAGCTCTCTTTCCTTTCTCTTTCTACTGTCAGTGTTCTGCGCCATAGGTCGTTCCCATAACCCAAAGGCTTCAATTTATACCCTGCAATGAAATCAGTGAAAGTGTTTTTTTTTTCCCTGACTCGAAGACCTTCGAAAGACATTGGCCCCAAGACCCCTCTCTGATTGATTGCTCTAAATGACAGAACAGAAATGTGCCTGACATAGTATATATATATATATGATCTGACCTATTTATTTATTCCCTTGCTTCATCATGGTAAAAGTGCAGCATACACGTGCCTGCATCAGTTACCAACAAAACAGGTAAATACAATTAACAAAGGCTATTTTTTTATATGTTTAATTATGATGAAGGAGAGGTCGACATCTTCATTGGACCCGCTACACTCTATTAATACAGCTAGTGGATAGACAGCAATAACCAACCATCCCCAGTATAAATGAAAAAAACGGAGAAAGCTGGTAGTGTTACACCCTTCCCCTGTGAGTGTCTTATTCTGCAATATAGGGATCCTTCGCTTTGCATTACAGTTATTTGGAGAAGTCTTTATTGCATGTATTAAATTACTTGAATATCATGAATATATCATTAAACCAAAAAAATAATATTCAACAGTGGTAATTATTCAAAAAAAACAGAATGTAGATCATCTTTTCTTTCTATTCCTTGTAACTAAATTTTTCCAACGCAATATTTAGAGAAACCTTATATTGTTAGATTATTGGATCCGTTGATCAGCATCAGAGGCATTGCGATATGAGGGAGAGGATTTATGGGCTTTTTCCTGTGAAATGAAGGACATGTTCATAAAGCGGGAGGTGCACGTTTCACTTTACAGGTTTGTGCTCCAGTAGAAGCGGCTATGAGAGAAGGTCCCTCTGCCTGAGCCTTGTCTAGAGGCCAGATCATTTTGGGGGCTGTTGGTTTTATGCAGGCTTGGGAATTATGTTATTATTCGATAGGCCAGTGGGTGGCGCAGTGGCTCGGACTGTTGCCTTGCATCCCTAGAGACAGGGGTTTGAATCCTGCCTTGTCTGTCTGTCCTCACCATGCTGTGTGGGTTTCCCTGCACCGTCCAAAGCCTTCCAGGTTGACTAATTGGAGCTGCTGAATGGCCCACAGTACAGTGGCATGAAATAGTTTGGGCACCCTTGCTTAAAACATCTGTTACTGTGAGTAGTTAAGTCAGCAGAAGATGAACTGTTCACCAAAAGGTGTAAAGTTAAAGATCACATGTTTCTTTAATATTGTAAACAAGATTACATTTTTATTTCCATCAATCACCAGTACAAGATACCAAAAAAATGATAAGGACCTGAATGAAAAGATTGGACGTCCGACATGGTCAGTACTTAACACCCACTTTGGTAGATATCACAGCTTTTAAATGATTTTTGTAGCCAGCTAAGTCTTTCAATTCTGACACGAATGCTCCTGTTTTTGCAAGATTCTTGGGCTGTCTTGCATACACTGCTCTTTTGAGATCTATCCGCAGATTTTCAATGATGTTTAGGTTGGGGGACTGTGAGGGCCATGGAAAACCTTCAGCTTGTGCCTCTTGAGGTATTCCATTGTAGATATTGAGGTGTGATTCAGATCATTGTCTTGTTGTATGACCCATCCTCTATTTAACAACAACTTTTTTTACAGATGTTGTGATGTTTGCTGCCAGAATTTGCTAGTATTTAATCAAATCCATTCTTCCCTCTACCAATGACATGTTCCCTGTGCCACTGGCTACATCACAAGCCCAAAGCATGTTCTTCTGGAATTCGGCACCTTTTTTCTCCAAACATACCTTTGCACATTGTGGCCAAAAAGTTCTATTTTGACTTCATCAGTCCACGGGTCTTGTTTCCAAAATACATCAGGCTTGTTTAGATGTTCATTTGCAAACTTCAGACACTGAGTTTTGTGGTTAGGATGCAGGAAAGGTTTTCATCTGCAGACTCTTCCATGAAGGTCATATTTATTCAGGTATTGCTGCACAGTAGAATGGTGCACCGCCGCTCCAGTGTCTGCTAAATCTTCCTGGAGGTCTTTCTCAGTCAGATGGGGCTTTTTATTTGCCTTTGCAGCAATCCTACGAGCAGTTCTTTCAGAAAGCGTTCATGATCTGACAGACCTCAACATCAGCTCCACCATTTCTTTTAACTGCCATTTCTTTTTAACAATACGGACTGAGGAAACATCTACTTGGAAAGTGGAAACACTTTGCTATCTTCTTGTATCTTTCTCCTCAAATATCTTGGGGTGCCCAAACTTCAGAGCCTTTTAACTCTTTTGGTATTTTGTACCTGTGATTGATGGAAATTAAAATTTTAAGCAAGATTATATTTTTAAGAAATGAGTCGTCTTTAACTTTATTCTTTTTGGTGATCAGTTCTTCTTCTTTACAACTATTCACATTAACAGACATTTTAAGCAAGGGTGCCCAAACTTTTGCATGCAACTACATGTGTGTGTGCGCCCTGCAATGGACTGATGTTCCAGCCTTGGTCTCTGGGATTATATTCCTTACGTCTGTAACGCAGATGAGGGTTAGGGTTTGGAATGTTAAGGGACAACAGACTGATTACAGTGATCAGAACTGTTGATTTTTTTTTTTAAGCTTTTCTATGGTTTTTTGCTTCAGTTTCTGACGTCAGTGGATAAAAATGTTGAAGGTTTTAAGGGGCTTAATTATACCAGTTGAACGCCTTTAAAAATGCTGGTATTTTGCTTAATGGGTTTGTTTTGCACAAAAAAAGTTTTTCATGAACTGAAATACTGTCAGTATGGTCAAAAACAATTTAAACCAGTCATTGTATCCCTGTGCTCTGGTAAGAGGGCACATTTTGCAGGTAAGGTTTGGGAATAGAGAATGAAAATAAAAAGACAATGTCCCAGCTGTAATTCTGTGTGATGATGAAATGTCTCACACCGTGTGATTTGAAACTCTTGAAATAAATTGGACGTGTCAATGCCTGGGTAGGATGGATCATTCCAATAGGTGTTCCTTTCTCTGTCCTTCTGTTGCTGGCCCGTCATTACCGGGTCCAAACCTGCCTGATGAGAGCCTGAGAGGGCCTGTTTGCAAGGGGTACTGCAGCTGTTCTCTTGTTGCAGGAAGTCAGACTCTTATCTTGGGACCTTTGTGTGATGCTGGGAAAGCCCTGGTATGTTAACCCTAAGACGTTTGTCTGTGACTTTAGTCATGTTTGTAATTTAGTGAAGGGAAAAAATGGGGCTTATGTGTGTATGAGTTTGTGCTCTGTGATGGTCTCGCATCCCACTCAGAGCACTGCCATGCCCTATGCCCTTTGCTGCATGGTATAGGCTCCAGGTCCCCCATGACCCTAACCTGGATGGATGGATGGATGGATGGGTTAATAGAAAGATATATAGATAAACAGATGAACAGGTAGATAGCTGGGTAGTTGGAAACAGACTGACTTTTAATTTTTGCCCAGAGTTTAATAGTAATAAGATATATTACAGTAATACACTATCTGAGGTCAATATATTTCACACAATACATTGACTACTGGATGATTGATAGATCTATTGTAAACAACCTTAAAGGATTTGGCAAAATTGTAAGGAATACAGGAGAGAATAGATGTGAAATTGCTACTATGGTATTACTATGTGACGTATATTCTGCAGTGTAATGTTGAATATAACTTTAGCTGGTGTTTGGGGAGCTGCAATTATTCACCAGTAGATATTACAGCCATCAGAAAAGTATAGATGGGTTTATTAACCCAAACCCCAAGAAATACATTAGCTATGCTATTTATAAATGAAGTACCCAAGTTCAGCTGATGAAAAGCCCATTTGAAACCAAATGATAAATACTTTTGTTTCAAACGCCTATTTGCTCTCGACTTAAGTTTAGTAGTAGTAGTAGGCTAATACTTTATTGATCCCTAAGGTAATTCCACTTTTTTTAGTATTGGAATATACATATTATTATAAATATTTTCTCGTGGCAGTCCGATGATGTGCTAAATGTACGTGTATTTTTAATGACTCGGCGTTTTTACTTAAACGGTAAACGTAGCGGAGTTTAGCCCAGACCTTCTCTGAAAAGTTACAGGCCTGCGCAATTCGTTTACTCTCACAATTAACAAAGGGCGAGTTAACAGCAGGAAAAGAGGCTGCTAGGCGCAGCTCTCGATCGCCGTCTGCGGTTGCAGAATGAGCTCGTCCCTCCGGCGCAGAGCAGCCCCTTGTTCCCCACCAGACATCGTGACGACCCTCCGGATAAGTGCATCTGAGCTCCTCTTTAGAAAGGCTGAAATGCACAAATACGTTTCACGATAGTCGCGCACGCAACTCTCCGGGCGAGGATAAAGCATGCAAAGAAGCATCACCTGAAAAGAAGTGAAGATGAATCTAACCAAGTTATATTTAAAATTTGGACACCTTTTCTACAGGAACTTCTCGTTTTGGGGAAATGATGGCAAAATGAACCATAGCCTTCAGGATGCACTTCTGTTCACGGATGATGTGCTGTTTTCGGGGAACGAGCCAGGCACTATCGTTTTGGTAGTGATGTACACTTTGTCCTTCTTCATTGGCTTAGGGGGCAATGTTATGGCATTGATGGTTTTAACCAGGAGGAGAAATCGTCTTGTCGGCGGTTCAGCAACCAGAAGACTGCTGATAAATTTGTCTGTCTGTGATATGATGGTGGTGTGTGTGTGCATGCCAGTCAATCTCGGCCACCAGCTGCACAACGCCTGGGTGTTCGGGGACTTTCTGTGCCGGGTCGTCCCTTTCGTCCAAGCCGTTTCTGTCGCCGCTAGTGTGCTGAGTCTGGCTGTCATCAGTCTCAACCGATTCTATAGCGTCCACAACCCCCTTCACGCCAGGTATTTCTTTACTGGGAGAAAAATACTCTGCATGATCTGTGCAGTGTGGGCACTGTCGTCGGGACTTTGCACGCCGATCATCTTCATGAATAAGACGAAGACACTGGTGCTGTTGGGAAGCAACCATGCGATATCAGTGTGCGTGGAGAGCTGGCCGGAAGTCAGGCTGCGACAAGGCTATAACTTTTTGCTGTTCTGCACCCTATACGGATTCCCCGTTTTATTTAACCTCGCTATTTGCTTCATGACGGGGCGCAAACTGTGGCGCGTAAACGAGAAATTCAAAGAATGTAACAAGTGTTACTTCGCGCAGTCCGCGTCCCGACTCAAGGTGCGCAAAAAAGTCGCCAAGATGGTCGTCGCACTTGTTGTGCTGTTCACGCTTTCCTGGCTGCCCCTGTATGTGGTGGATATCTGGATTGATTTCAACATGCCGGATGCTTTAGAAGAAAGAGAATATGACATGGATCATGTCAATCACCAATGGATCCTGCAAGGTAGACCCTTTGCGCTTTGGATGGGTCTGACCAATTCGGCTCTCAACCCGCTTTGTTACTGCTTTGTGGGAAATCTTTATAGATCGGCTCAAAGAATTAGAAAGAGCTACAAAAAGAAGCTGTCATCAGTCTTTAGCATGCCTTTATCAGGGGCGCCGGGTACCAGGTCTGCGCCCATGCACCTAAGCTGCAGACGCGATTCCTCCGAGAGATGTCCCGCCGAAGCGTGTGGCTGGAGGAGACAAGCCAGCTTCAGGGAAAGCTTCTCCAAAACCCGCAGTCTCTTCTCCATAACAGTTTGCGAAACTGTGTTTGATTGACAAAGGGAGTCGTGCTTAAACTTCTAACGCTGCATCTGCTACGTTCCATTTGGGACCCTTTTGGATTTGTTAAAACATGGACTCTATACTACGTATTATTTTATTACCTACGGTTTTAATTTATAACACGCATAGACGGCTGCGTATTACAGTGTACAGTAAAATTACATTCATTCAAGATGTACTAATTTCATGTAAATTTGTTGTAGAAAACATCCTCATGGTTATGTGGCTTATATATTTCAAAATACATTTGTCAATGAGAAACTATGTGATATATAAAACGAATTGTCTGTGCCAGTGTTTATTTATTATTATACAAATGTATATTGATTAAATGACTGAGAGACCATGCACAAGATTTAGTGCGAGTATTAGAGAATAAAGGGCAAATATTTTGAATGTCGTATTTTTTTTTGTATACGTGACCCTGCAATTTGTATGACAAAATAGCGAAGAGAAATGTAATTATTTGGTCGACAGTCCTTCATTCAGGTAAATTGCAAATCTACCTAGCTGTATGGGTAGGCTATAGGTGTACAGCTGCTAACTCAAACTTAACATTTTAACCATTCCACCGTCTTTCCTAGTGTATTTTACATTTCTGAAAGAGAATGATGACATGCGGAATCCTTAGCGGTTTAAAAATTATATTACGTAGATATATTTTCGATTTACTCCATGAAATAACTGGTTGACGCCTTGTTAGAAATTCCGTTGTAAATTCTGTGCAATTATAAATATTTCACCTATTATCGTGTGTGTTATACATCGGCGAAGGTTTTTGTAAATGTATATTGAACGTTAACATTTTGTCTCTGGCCAGCATACTACTTCACATTCTTGTAAAAAAAATTTTTTTTAGATTAATAAAATGGAGTTGAAATTAAAGAAGACTGGAAATCTGTAAGAGTTAGAATCCTAAATAAATTAATAATGAAGGACAACCAAACTTGCGGCCAGGAAACAGTGGTTGAGGCTGAGATTAAGTCAAAGTGCAGATCTTTGCACTGCGACGTTCGATAAAACCATTCTCACATGTGCACAGAATTTATACGTTTTGTGAAAATAGTTCGCCCAGAGATCATTCAATATCTAATACTTATAAATTGCTATCATTCTTGCCATTATTATAACAGTTTATTTTTAGAAAACGCAATTACTGACTCATCCTGCGCTGTCCATTGCTTTCGAGAGAAGAAAAGGGTAAAGGGTCCCGTTTTAGTTCCTCGGATAGAACGATATTTAGAACTTAAAATGTTTTGAGAGGGTGTTCGGCGAATGATTATTATGATGTGCAGGAATCAGAGCCAAGCATCAAAGCAAAACAGCAGGTAAAGTGGGGGGAAAGCAAGAAAAGCTTTAAAAACCTTAAATAGACTGACAGCCACACAGTCCCTATAATATACAGGATACTACGCATGCCCGTCTCATTTTACCTCGGAAATTATATAAATTTGCCCATACCGGCATAATGAAATCAATAATCATACTGAATAAATGACCATTAGCATAAAGCATAAATACATTGCACATAACAGATAGAAGCTGGTTTTTGAACGTTAAAAAGTAGGCCTATATCAGCAACTATTTTCCAATTTTAAAAATAGTTCATATTTTTAGTACTAGCGTTTGCCTTTGTTCTGTTTGATCTCTATAGAAATTCTTCCCGTGAAAATTTCAAAAGATGCATGGTTTTCATGAAAAACCCCTCAACAGTAGTGGGAACAACAGAAAGAATAGTGTTCAAAGATACAAAAATAATAACTAAACGGCTGATTCAAGCCTCACAAGTATGGCTAAAGTGGAATCCAGAGAGAAGCCATCCTTCAGCCTAAGACAGCAGCCGAAGTTATTGCAGCTAGGCAATCTCAGATTTTTTGAACAAAGAAAATATTGCACTTTTTCATGTCTTATTCTTGTGCTTCACTCTGCGATTTTAGACCATTCTGGTGTCTGAAGTGTATTGTGTTTTTAACAGGTTTTCAACATGATCAACATGTAGGGCCAGCCATGGGTTTTCTGCAACTCTATGACAGATTCTGCTGAGTGCCCCAACCTCTGCCCCCCCCAGCAGAAAACAAATTTTGTCAGTTTATTTAAATTAAAAACATTTCAGTAGCACTGAGTATCTGGCTGCGGACCAGCTAACTCGTGTAGTTCACAAGAAAGCAATAAAACATCAGTTTGAATAAGTAATGTCATGGAATGCAGGGGTATTTTTTTTCTGATTCTGTCACTCTCTCTTTGTACCCCTTAATCAAATGACGCCCTAGGCGATTGCCTATGTTGCCTCTAGGGCGAGGCAATTACTCTAAACATATCTGCATTCCATTCATTGATCCAAATCATAAAGTCTATACTTCGTGGCTATATTCTGAAGATGAATAATCAGAAAAAAATGACAACTTACATTCTTTCTTCCCATCTGTTTTTGGCAGAAAGGAAGACGATTACCAGATCATTTCAAACACTAGAAACAATACTTCAGGATCATGGTCATAAACAACACTGTAATAACCAGATTCAGAGCTTTTTTTTTTTTTGTTTAAAAAAAAGTTCATTCCCACATGCAGGTGATTTAATAATGTGTTGATTTGATTGCATTCAGTAACGGCTCAATAATTTCAAGTATAATGAAAGGTATCCAATATACAATTTATATCGCAACTGGACGAAACTGAAGGAAATGGTTGATTTCCAACGATCAGTATTAATAACAGATAATTAGCTCAGCAAAGTGCAGGCTGAATCTTTCTGCCGAAAGCAGCATATCTAATACCTTGGCTGGCTGCTGCACAAGCACCTTCCAGGGATGTGTCGAGCTCCTTTCATGCTCTCCTCTTGCAGTGGCTCTCCTGCGTCGAGCCACGCGACCAGCCGGGTAACAAACCTGCTGCCTCCGCTTGACACCCTCTAGCAATGACCACCTCTGAAGTCAAAGCAAAATTTATGGATAACTTTTGCACCACTAATGTAGGGCCAAAACAGCTTCACAAGCACTTAGTCAGAGCTGTTCTATTTGAGTTATACATGCCGGTACAATATAACACAGGAACGTATGAAATTTTAGCGCCGGTTTAGTCATCCCTCCAGTACCCTCTAAACAGCCATCTGGTGCTATCTGAAAACAATGAAAGCAATGATGGGTACCATTCTGATTAACAGTCAGAATCTCGCTCAAACAATGAATGTCGCTACCTCCCATTTTTGCTTAATGAGCAGTATTTTAACTGAGCAATTAAATACATTATCCAGTTGTCATTTACTGGTACAAAAAGTCTCCCCCCCCACTGCGTTATGCAAGTTCCACAGACCATTCTACACACCAGTGTTTCCCAAACTGGGCCCTGAGTACCCTGACAGTCCATGTTTTTGCTCCCTTCCACCGGGACGGTCTGGGAGTCCCCAAGGATCGGGTTGGGAAACACTGCAATGCACAAACTAAAAAAAATTAGGACTGAAGGTTTTGTTTACTGATTAATGGTTACACACCGGACCACTGTGCTTCACCCTCACACACATTTCAGTGAGCACCAATGTAACAAATATGCGCTGCCTGCAATTTGCAAACAGCATGGCAAGTCTTCCCTGTTGAAACAGACTCCGGCAGAACCTGCTGTATTTCAGTCAAATCAGATTTCCGTCAGGCACCCTCAACTCCTTAAATCCCTTTCTTGAAGGGATTACATATAGATGACAAAATAGTTGTAACATGAGAGTAAATCTTTTTACATTTCCAGTATTGACGAGTGAGACTATGTAATAATTCACAATAACTGATTATTAAACTCTAAAAATAAGGTTATGCGTGTTCAAGTTAAATGAGCATCAAATAATAAATGCACCCCCCCAAAGAGTCTATGATAATTATAACTTTAAAGAAGACAATTAATATGAGATACTCACATAAACATTAGCCTAAGAGACAAACATTTTATTTTGAAGGCTTATGAAATATATCCTTATACAAACAGCTTGAATAAGGCGTTATAGTTGGTACTAGCAATCTTAAACTGATGGAAATGGTTGGGGGAACAAACCTGAAAAAACATCAATTGTTGCAGGTGAAGTCATTTTAAAAATTAGCTTGCTCTGCGTATTTCAAGCATGGAGGTGACTGCAGGATCAGGGTCTGTCATATGACACAAAGGGTAGGGCATCGTTTACAAAGGGCAACCAAACAGTTCAGCTGTTACGTCACCTCTCACTTTAACAGATGTTGTCAAAAATGTATCATCTGGTACATTTCTGATACATCCTAAAAAAAATGCATGGATATGGAGTTGAGATATACCGCAGAATACACGACCGTCTAAAAAAAAAAAGTTATTGCAGGTGTAGGGAGAGTGCTTTCCCCATAAACTTTCTACAGCTTCCAGAGAAATGAAACAAAACACGAGATGGGACCTGTTAGTTGAGTGTAGCAGTGCACGTTAGACCCGAATGGCAGTAATGGCTGCAAGCGCTGACACACCGTATGCAACAATCAAATGAAAGGTTCTGACTGGAGCTCACGTTTGATCTAGGTAACACACAAATTCCCACTTAAATAAAAGTCTTTAGTTGGTAATTTGGGAAGCAGTTGGGACAGGGGCCATGGGAGGAGACTCCTGCCGACGCCGCGCACGTCCGCCATCTTCACATGTTGGTGCTCATTCGCGTTTGGCTGTTGGCAGGTGTGAGCTCGCCCTGGCTGCCTTCCCGTGGTGGAGACTGGAAGGAAAAGAAACAACCAAGGAAATTTAGTCTTCATGCGTCTGCTTCTCAGCGAAAGACTGAAGTTACTATATTACTGCTGTATATCAAAATTTAGACAGCAAAATTAAGAAAGTAGATTTGATTCTTAATAGTAATAGTGCGTATAAATTACTCCACTCAGAAAACGTCGAGTTTTAAAGCGTGATATTGTTTAGTTTTACAGCAGCTGGTGACACGACAGTCACTAGACATTTTTAAAAATGTGTTTCCAGACAGCTACTCTGACACTAAAATAGCTAAAGTGCATTGGACAGCATTGCTGGAAGCAAACCAAACGGAGGGGCGGGCACAAGGTTAGGAACCAATCAAGAGACATCACCCTGGAGACCCGGTTACCTTGACGTGTATCTGGTTACGCAGCACAGCAGCTCGCAGGATCATAGCTTTGGCTCTTCTCTGAAACTCTTTGCCCATCTGAAGAGACTTCTCAAAGGTTGTGCTTCTCTGATCCACATCCCTGGCATACAGGATCTACAAGAGAGCTCATTTAGGGCTGCTGCCAGTAGCAGCGGAGTAGGCGGCACACTACTGCTTACAGGCCAAATAATGATGCTTGTGTACACTTCAGTTTGGGGGGCATACATACAAAATTTAGCAACAGGAGGCAATGAGAAACACACAAGAAGTATAAATGTTTTGTTGAAAATGTTTTGCAAACCTCGCTTGGACTGCTCAACCAAAAAAAATCATCACACATTCTGGGAGAAAGTGACAGCTGATTGAGCGCCAGACAACCTTCCCAGTTTTTGGATGATGCTATACAATCTCAAAAAAATAAGGACAGGGCTGTCAAGAGAGGGTTTGTAGCCGGGTGACGGGTCATGCCTTGCTGTGGGAGTCGATCCTGGCATTGATCAGTCCCTCCAGAATCAGCTGCGTCAGCTCGTCCTCCAGAGCCGCCACCGAGGTGTTGAAGGCCATGGCCATCTTGTTCATGTCAGCAGACACATAGGGGCTAAAGTACTGATGCCAGGAGAGGACAAAGGGAATAAAACACTTAGCTGAGGTGTGACAGAGGCTGAAGTTTTCCCCTTATGATGATAAATTCCTAACTGAAGAAAGGTGATGTGAATAACAAACAGTTAGCTTCAATTTACCTTAACGTACAACAGTGTTTCCCAATTCGGTGCTCAGGGGCCCACAGACAGTCCATGTATTTGCTCCCACCGGTAGCTGGGAGGGAGCAAAAATGTGAACTGTCTGGCAGGGACAACGGAGGGAGCAAAAACATGGATCGACTGTGGGTCCCTGAGGAACAGACTGGGAAACACTGATGTACAGTTAACTCATAATGGAAATCAATGAATGGTAATCAGTACCACAGCATCAATCAGTGAACCTGATTCAACAATTAAAAGTAGTAATAAAATATGACTTCTAAATCAAGTTAAATCTAAACTAATTTTGAATTCATATAAAGCATTTATTTGGATTCTGATTTCTGTGTCTCAAGTATCTGCACATTTCAGCTATCCATAAGAGACAAAAATGCAGGTCCAAATGCAGGCAACTCAGGACTTGTGTAAAACAGACTTGTGTAAATCTGGGACTTATGCAAAAAAAACAAAAAAACAAAAAACTATATATATATATGTTCTTTGCTGTAAAGTCTTGAAGGGTATAGGGAGGTAAATCCAGTCTAAGTAAAATGTATCTTTAAAATGTGAATGAAATTCCACCACATTAAAAAGTCCTGTAGAGTGTGAATGCAGTCTGACGTCCCGCAGTATCAAGCTGCTTGTCTCACCTGTATCAGGGCTCTGTTCCTAATCTGCATGTATAGTGTCCTCACATGGGGAGCCAGATACATGTCCAGCAGAAGGTTATCCTGAAAGATGGTAAAGCCCAGAACATCACCACCTCTCCGCAGCATGATAAATAAGCAAAAGGGATTAGCTACCACTCTTACCTCTCATAACAGAGAGACACATTCAATACATCTCTCAGCATTACAAGAGAAGCACAGAAATGTATTACATAAGTGCACCATCTGAAACTGTAGACAGCTACCAAGCACACAGTCAGAAGCTGTTATATTAAAACAAGGGTATTATCCTGTCCTGGGGGCACTGGAGCAGTAAACAAAATAAGTTATTTTAAAAGCATGAACTGCAGCTTACAAGGATTATAAATACAACAAACCTGCACTGTAACAGGACTGATTAGGAAGAGCAGGGTAGCGGAACACTTTGATGTGCCCTACCTAGAAATACAAACGCAGCAGAATGCGACTCTCCCCACACCTTCACAGTTAGTAGCAAAGGTCCAGTGCCAGCTCAGGCTGCTTCACAAAGCACTGTGACCTTTTGTAACCTTGTTTACTCAAGTGCAGAGTATGGGGAATAGGAGTGTAATGGTACACGTATTTGTGGCGAAAATTTTTGGTACGTGTCTTTTGGTTTGTTACGCATATGTACCGAACTAATGCAGCAAATGAGGGACCTTTCTGTGTTTCCCCCGAGCAACATTCGGAAAGGGGAGGATGAATCCGTGCCGCTGTGCAAGCACACGTATGTCCTGATGTGAAACTGGAAGCAGTTCATGTAAATACAAGTACAGCACATGTATTTTTAAATGCTGCACCATAATGGATATTTATGTTATGCTTTGTATTTTTTGAGACAATATGTCTGAAAGCTGCTAATGTGAATACAGTATAGATCAGGTACGGCTGATTTTCTAAATGTGCACCTTGATGGATATTTATTTTATTTGCTTGAGAGAATATTTATTTTGATTAAGTAAATTTTAGTTTTTTATTTGTAAGTTGCAGCAGTATTGAGAGACTTGTTATTTAAGACAGTCATACTTTGTTCAGTAAATGAAAAATGTTAAATAAAAAAAAAGAAGTTCATGTTTCGTTTGTTTTAGCCCCACTGTACCGAAAATGTACCAAACCGAGACTTCGATACATACCGAACAGAGATTTTCGTATACTGTTACACACGTAATAGAGAACCATAAAAAATGTTCCGCAGAAGTCAAAAGAATGTTCATCTGAAGCCAGGTGTTTCTCTTTTTGGGCAGTTTGGAGCGACTGTTGCAGCAGAATGAGAGAGAAACATTGTCTCCTTTCTAAAATTGAGGGATGAAACCTGATCTGATCCAAATAAAGCATAGCTGATTGCACTACAACCAGTGATAAACAAGCCCCGTGTCATGTCAGTGAAAGGATGGGAGATTTATGAAATGCAACTGAATGCCAGAACAAAACAGGTTGGACAACTTTTATCTATTCTCGTTTCCTAAATTATTAAATGCAAATCCGCAGATCCTCCGAGATCTGCTCGGTAAGCCCACGATGTCTAAAAACGCCGACGGCACACAGCCCACGTTCACAGTTCTCTCTCCATTTTAGAGGATGGCTCAGGTTCAGTATCTGACACCCATAATGAGCTTCAGATGGGTGAGCGATAAGGAGACCTGTATCAGTATGGATCATACCCGCTAAACAAGGCTCTGCCTGATGCTCATGTAAGAACCGAGCCCCACATTTCCTTTATCATGGAGTCCTCCAAGAGCACGTCACTAATCCAATCATGTATAAAACTGCAGTTTGCTATTGGGTTGGTTTTCATAATATGGAGAAGAAAAAGTAACACTGTTACAGGTTACATATTAATGATGAACAAACGGCTTGGCCAGGTTGGTAATATCAACACACAGCCCACGCCCACCCTCACCTTCATCTCGTCCAGCATTTTCAGGCAGGATGCGTACTTCGACTCATAAAACTTGAAGATGATGTCGCGGACCTGAGGCTCCAGCTCCAGGAACAGCTTGAAGGAGCTGAAAGCGGACAGGAAGAGAGGGTCAATGCGGGGCAGGCCTTGATGAGAGCCGGGACGTCGTGTCACATGCCCAGACGCGAGCTCCGTGGCCGTGAGCTGACCTGCTGGAGATGACGTTCCTCTGCAGCTCCTGTCTGTCGAAAGTGGCCAGGGCACACAGCCCCCCATATACCGCTACGTTACTGGGAGAGAGAAGCTGCAGCGAGAAGAAACCAGCGTAAGGACCCATGCTGCAAACAAGCCACATCTCTACCATTATACACACTCTTCTCTGCAAATTTGGTCATCCTATAACATACGAAACTCTACATAATAAAACAAATGCGGCAGTCCACTCATATGCATGGGTGATGCATTCCAAGACCTACTGCGGATAGCCAAAACTGCTGATAACGGTGAACAATCCCCGGACGCTGATATCTAAAACGTGTTTTTTATGTACATACATATGGTAGCGTTTAATTGGTTATGCACAGTGAGATATTACCAACATTAAATACAGCAAAAGTACATTGTACATTATATTGTACTGTACAATACTGTACTCTCTCGAACAAGAGAAATTTTAGCTTAATTCTCAAAGTATGATATAGTAATAAATATACATCAAGAGATGACGGAGCAATGAACATCATACATTTATACCGGTCAAAGGTCGAAGAAACAATGAAACATCGGATACTGTTACATATTTTACAATATAAAATACTGTATCATGTACCAGTACATAACCCATAATGGGAAACATTTACAGCCTGTACTCACTTGGCACACAGTTTGAAACTTTTGAACCGTTTCTGGAATTTTTAAACCAGGACTCTTTAAATCTGGACCTTGATTCCCAATCTAGGATTCGTTTTCAGTTCTCCTAGGTTATTTTAATAATTACTGATTCTGATTGGCCACAGAGGCTTCACACCTGGCTCATAGGTAAAGGAAGGCTGGAAAATGAGCAGTGCTGGGACCATGAGAACCAAGATTAGAACAGTCCAGTTTTAAGCTTTTGTTTCAGACCACGGTAAATGCAGGTAACTGAAACCGTGGATAGTGGGGTCCCACTGTATGTATGCAGTGCCCTCACAATTTCTTTGTTTCTGGATCACTTAGTAGCGCACCACTCCAGGGAAGCATAAGAGAGGTAGAGAGAGCTCCTTGGATGGGTAACAAAGCTCTTAGGGGCTTTAATGGTGGTTGGGTCGGTAGGGGAGCTGACCTCAGGGAAGTCACAGTGGTCGAAGGAGGCCTGAAGGAAGCACTTTGCTGCCTGTTTGTACTTTCGAGAGGCGAGCTCTGCCAAGCCTGGTGTGGAAGAGGGAAAAAAACTGTTAGGGAGATGCCCCCACCTACATGGGGCTGCAACAAATATTAGATCAACTTGCAAATAAAAAAGGCATTTGAGTAATCCATAACAGTTACTTGGACTCTTCCACAAATGGATAACAGAACTTGCCACTTTCAGTCTATTATTAACACAGAGTGGAAACAGCAACACTTAGCGGTTGGTCAATTAAAATCTGAGGAAGAAACAGCAGAAGAAAGGCAAAGAAACGTCAAGCCCGCCATCAACGAGCAAAACAGTCAGAGGTCTGGCAGTTTCACACACAAGTGGGGGTGGTTTTGTGCAAGTGTGAGGTATGCAAAAATAACCTGGCACTACATAACAGAATGGAGCACATAAAAGAGCATCTGAAATGGATACATCTCGCTGACATGACTTTGCTAGTTTGAAACAAATAATGGAAACTGTTATATTTAGCACAAATCACAGTAGCAAAAGTTCAATGTCGTCTTGAAAAGTAGCAACATTTTTATATTTACCTTTTTGAGAGTTATTTTAAATATAAAACTAGGCCTCGTTGAAAATGAATAGAAGTCACATATCAAAACATTCAATATTTATGAAGCATGCAAAAGCCTTGAGGAAGAGGGATCAAATCCTGAACAGTGAATTCTGCCATTACCTGCAGCACATTTCAGTTTGGTGAGGACTGCTTGGTTCTGACTGTCCCTTTCTCCTCGTTGCTAAAACGAGAAAACAACTTATAGCGACATGCACGTCTCTTCGCCATCATTCTAACCACAAACTCCGTATTAGGATACACGATGACAACATACTTCTGCTATCTCTGGAGTGGACTCGGCCTTGCTGACATAACTAAGTACGTGGGACCAGTTCTGAAGGTAAACGCTAACCTGTGAGGGGAAGACAAAAACACCCAAGTTTACAACCTTAGCTGTAACCCATTTGGACAAGTAACTCCTTTCTCATAAGACCACTTAAACGAGACAAGCAGAAAGTTACATTTTACCAGTGTGATCAACACACCAGAACACTTTAATACAATCAAGTGAACAACACCGCTTTCTGCTATCATAACACACAGTGAAGCCTTACTTTACTGCAAAAACACTAAAGCTACCTTAAATAAGTAAATGCTACAGATTTTTGGACTGCAATATGCACTACTACAAATCTATCATAAAAGCAGTGGGGGAAAACTTGTTTTGTTATCTGATAAGTGATGCTTTGTAAGTACCAACAGGAAGCTGATCCTGCGAGACCCAGCAGAGACCTTCAGTCAGCTGCTCATTAATTTAAAACACTGACAGACGGCACAGAGCGATGCCACCCACCTACCATGACAAATTTTCACTGGTCACATCACTAATGTGCAGTCCATGTCCAAGAGCATACCCTGTACCTGTGCCTAAGGAGTCACATCAACCAGGAGTCACGTCAACCAGGAGTCACGTCAACCCTGCTCACACTGCCTGTCAATGTGACTGTACCTTGATTACATTAAGACACATATTGATGACGTGCTTGGCGCTGGTACAGTAATCTCTGGCACGGGAGTAACACTTCAAGGCATTGCTGAGGTCACCGCAGTCTAAGTAGTGATCTCCAAGGTCATCATGACCCCTCCTATGTGGGGGGGGGAAACATGGTAACAAGGCTTTAGCATTAATGAGCTCCTGTAGTTCACGTAAAGCTCACATGATAGTTGACCCTTTAAAGCAAAACAAAGTCACAAGTAAAACTGGTTAAAAAAGCCACAGTGACTTCACCTAATGTTCCCCTGATTTATCAAGACTGGTATCCATCACCATTGCCAGCAAGAGGCGCTAGAGGCTATCTAAGCAAGTTAGTTTTCACTCAATGCCAAACTACGTCACATTTCCACTGAAGTTCATAAGCAAATTAAATTCAAATAAAAATTGAATTCCTCAGAATTAAAGGAGAATTGTTTCTTTTTTTACCTTTTTAATGGACTAATACAGATTTGTATTGTGTTATACCATAGCAATAGATAAAATTCATATTCCTAAAATTATAAATCACACAAATGTAAAGCCTAATTTTAAGCTTAATAAATTGCAAAACTGACCTTTTTTTCCTTCATTTATTGACACCTTTTACTAAAGCCAGGATACCAAAAATATGAGGAATTAGCAAAAAAAAAATTTCAATAATAACCAATGACACATACCTGATGCTCTCTTTGATGGAATTTCCCTTGTAGTTTTTCAGGTCAGTGTCCAGTTTTTCGAGCTTGAGGAGAGCCTTTTTCCTGGTTGACTCTGCCCACGCCGTGTCGAGAGGAGGAAGCACTGCCTCACCCTCTGCAACTGCATCTGGCCCCCCCTGGACCTCTCTGTGCCAATAACACAGCAAATTCACACATCTGTTCACACACGCACCACATTTACGACTGTTTTCCTTTGATGAGGAAACACAAACATCTCCAGCACTTGCTATATCTGTGGTTAATGAAATATTTTCTTGACACTGCATTTTGACGCACGATTAACAGCTTATGTGATAGCATGTGGGCAGACAGTACCTTGTAGCCTCGGTCAGCTTGCGGTGGATCTCCTCATAGACGTCGACATTGAAGGTTCTTTGGACAAATGACAGGGCCATCTTCAGTGCTTCCGCGCGGAGTTGGGGACAGTGCTCAGCGATGAACTGCAGCCGCTCGATCCTCATCAGCCCACTGTAGCAGGAGGCGTACTGCTCCAAGTCCTAAAACAGGAAACAGCAGGCAGCCAAACACGGGGCTTCAGTGAAAGGCCTGGCCGTCCGAGAGCAGCCTTCTCACCAACACTTATGCCATTTGACAATAAACAAGAATGGTGACAACAAGTACTGACAAAGTGAGATTTACTCTTCCTACTGTATCTCATACACCCCCACCATCATGTGCACTACCACCTGTATTCTTATAATACCCAGCAATCCCACGAGATTTCTATGCCGTCACATACAAGTAATATGAGTCATGCACTTTAATTCATGAGCAAAAGTGTATTACAGTAAGCAATGATGAATGATACATCAAGCATGATATATACAGTGGAGATCGAAAGTTTGGGCACCCCAAGTAAAAATGTGTATTAATGTGCATAAAGAAGCCAAGGAAAGATGGAAACATCCCCAAAAACCATCAAAATGCAGATGAGACATTCTTATAATATGTCAAAAAAGTAGGATTTCATTTTCATCATTTACACTTTCAAAATAACAGAAAACCAAATAATGGTGTCTGCAAAAGTTTGGGCACCCTGCACAGTTAATCCCTTGTACTGCCCCCTTTGGCAAGCTGAGACCTGACAGTGTCAGGGACTGTTCACAATCATTGTGTGGAAAGACCAGGCGTTGTCAATCTCAAAGGTTTTAAATGCCCAGACTCATTTGGCCTTGCTCCAACAATCAGCACCATGGGTTCTTCAAAGCAGTTGTCTAGAACACTGAAACTGAAAATAGTTGACGCTCACAAAGCAGGAGAAGGCTATAAGAAGATAGCAAAGCGTTTTCAAATGTCAATATCCTCTGTTTGGAATGTAATTAAGAAATGGCAGTCATCAGGAACAGTGGAAGTTAAAGCAAGAACTGGAAGACCAAGAAAAATATCAGACAGAACAGCTCGCAGGATTGTGAAAAAAGCAAATCAAGAACCACGTCTGACTGCACGATCCCTCCAGAAAGATCTGGCAGACACTGGAGTTGTGGTACACCACTCCACTATAAAGAGATACTTGTACAAATATGGTCTTCATGGAAGAGTCATCCGAAGAAAACCTCTTCTACGTCCACACCACAAAAATCAGCGTTTGAAGTTCACAGAAGAACATATAGACAAGCCCGACGCATTTTGGAAACAAGTTCTGTGGACCGATGAGGTTAAAATTGAACTTTTTGGCCGGAATGAGCAAAGGTATATTTGGAGAAAAAAGGGCACAGAGTTTAATGAAAAGCACTTCTGTCCAACTGTTAAGCATGGGGGTGGATCAATCATGCTTTGGGGTTGTATTGCAGCCAGTGGCACAAGGAACATTTCACGAGTAGAAGGAAAAATGGATTCAATAAAATTTCAGCAAATTTTGGATGCCAACTTGATGCCATCTGTGAAAAAGCTGAAGTTAAAGAGAGGATGGCTTCTACAAATGGATAATGATCCGAAACACAAATCAAAATCAACGGTGGATTACATGAAGAGGCGTAAACTGAAAGTTTTGCCATGGCTTTCACAATCTCCTGACCTTAACATAATTGAAAATCTATGGATAGACCTTACAAGAGCAGTGCGTAACAGGCAGCCCAGAAATCTCAAACAACTGAAAGACTTTTGTAAGGAAGAATGGGCGAAGATACCTCAAACAAGAATTGAAAGACTCTTGGCTGGCTACAAAAAGCGTTTACAAGCTGTAATACTTTCCAAAGGGGGCAGTACAAGGTATTAACTGTGCAGGGTGCCCAAACTTTTGCAGACACCATTATTTGGTTTTCTGTTATTTTGAAAGTGTAAATGATGAAAATAAAATCCAACTTTTTTTGACATATTATAAGAATGTCTCATCTGCATTTTGATGGCTTTTGGGGATGTTTCCATCTTTTCTTGGCTTCTTTATGCACATTAATACACATTTTTACTTGGAGTGCCCAAACTTTCGATCTCCACTGTATACTCATCTCACAAATTACTCACCCCCCGCATTTACAGCAGCATCTCTCTTAATTCAAAATGTTTACTGACAAGCATCAACATAACACCAAGTACCAATAAACACCAAAGCATCTGTCCGCGTTTGCTATACTTTTGTGCATTTGATATAATAATAATAATAATAATAATAATAATAATAATAATAATAATAAAATCTTTAATTTGAAGGTGTTCTTTTGCCTTGGGGGAGTGGGGATCATCTCTCTAATTTACTGACCATGGCTGCAGGGATTTTGCAAAAATCAATGTAGCAATCATTAGTATGTAGACCGTTTCATCCAGCAAGATTATTAATAAGCCAAATGAATGTAATTTAAGCCGCTTCATACCAGAGTTGGATTTTCCACAACATAGTTGGTGTCTGGTGCATTCTGCTGATCCTCCTGGGGGTCTGCATCGATTTGCATAGGCTCCACAGCCCCCTTAAAGAAAAGAAAGCAACACATTCTTCCTCACGAAAATAACAGCAAGGAGTATGAGGAATAAGTCAAAACCATTATGCCATTTTAAGCCAGAAAGCCAAAAAAACTGGCACATTGAATACTTTCAGAACAAACGCTGCAACGATAGGTACAACCCATTTATCTTGAGTAGCACTTCTGTACTTAACCAAGTTGTGTCCTGATTTCCCCAACAGATTTCACACTTCATTCCAAGGATAACAGAAAAAAACATCAATTAGTCAAATCTAACAGCCACCATCTACCCAATCCCCCATTGCTGTGGACAGCATAGCTCAGGTCTGCGCCTGTGGTGGGGACAGAGCTAGGCTACAGAGTTATCCCTGATTCCGTCCTCAACATGACAAAGGGCAACAGCGATATTAAGGGGATGTTACAGCACTATGTACCACCTCAAAGGTGTAGACACTCTGACTTGGGAATATATATTTGCCTTTTTAACATGTGATATGAATACATGAATGACAATAACAGATGCTGATTCTCACTAAAACGATTCTGTTATGTAAAAAAGTGACTGTAAAACTTTATATAAATAGGGTCAATCTTGATATGAAAACAGGTTAAGGGAACCACGACGGTATTTAAAAAGAGCCCGCAACCGACTGATTCCCAAAATAATAAAATTAATAATATACGATGACACTTGTAAGGTGTAGTCTTAGACCAATATCAGAACTGCACATTCCTCCTTTAGGTAAGACATGCCGAGACCATCAACAGATGTCACACCATATCCTGCACATGGTCACTCGGACACAGTTAACCAAAATAAAGGTACCTCTTCGTTTATCCAGTTTGAACAGTAAATAATATATGTACCACTCAGCGTTTATTAAACCTTTTAATATTCATAATGCCAGATTTAAAATTGTATATATTTATATATATATATATAGCAGTCTGTTGGTTTACGTCAACAAATTATCCTAAAAACTCATTAAAAGACAATTATGTACAGTACCTCGGATAACTAACAATGACACACATGAATAGGTAGCTAGGTACATAAAATGCGAGTTTAAGGAAGCCTGTATGTGTTTTAATCGCATCCGAGTAAGAAAGTGAACGGCTTAAGAAAAAAATCCATACATTTCAGGCGGCCAAGTTAGCCACTGGCTAACGTAAGCGGCAGGTGCAGATTGGCTTAATTTTACCAAACAGTCGCATCTCTACACTAAGCAGCACATTAAACTAGACCAAGGAGCCTGCTACAGGTATGCTAATGGACGTTTAGTGGGCCGGAGACGCGGTGGCTTTAGCATCCGCCTTTATCGGCAGCCGGGCCGGCTGAAGGTTTCAACGGGCTGCCCGGTTGCTGCTGGGGGTACCGGTCGCAGTGCTTCGCCGCAGCCTGCCTCCTTCCTCCATAATTACCAAGAGGGGCTTGTGAAATGCCGCTAGCCGGCTAGCCGGCTAACAGGACGTACTGCCCATCATAACAGTGCCCCCTAAACATGTCTGTCGAAGTAGGACAAATGCCGACCGTCTCCTCGCAATGGCCACAAGCACCGGCCCGCAGTGGTGAACCTGCTTTAACCGGACTGCCGACAAGTTACCCGAACGCGTCCCCCCGCATTATCTATCAGGAGTCAGAGGCCGTCATGCTTACTGGTATTATTTCAACTTTTACCAGCCACAACATCAACTAAGTCGTGGCAGGACTGAAAAATGTTGGCCGCTCAGCCCGACGCCCGCTAACGCGAGTAGCCCCTCTATGGGAAAGTAGTGAGAAGCACCGGTTTACCTGAAAGTTAAAGACCTGCACGGGCAGAGGCATCCCCTCCTTTCTGTCTCTGAGAGACGGAGCTCGCGAACGCGATCACATCCGGGGCACGGCACTGCACGGAAGCGGCGCGTCCCCGGCGCGTCGCCGTGACACTGCGGAGTCGGCGCGTGCTCAGGTATAGCCCAGGTATTCCCGTTTGGAGGAAAATTAATGTTTAAGTAAAATTATATGTGACAGCGAGCTTGTGAAACATATGTAAGGCAAACATAACAGCTCGAATTGATTAAATAAAGTTAAACAGATTAACGTCTTGTTATAACATTTATTTCACGCTTGTAGTTATTTATCAATTTCAGGTAGGCCTAACGTGCCCTGATATTTTTTTTAAAAAATCAGTAGATTATTTCCAGTATTGTTATAATACCGTATTGGTAACCAAATGTGATTTTTTTTTATAACAGTTAATTAAATAAAGAAACCTTTCCACATAAACGATTACCTGTAATACGAAATCTAATCGAATAAATTGATATTTACATTTTTAATAGTTACCGGTATGCCTTCATATTTTGCATATAGAGGATATTAACTGGTTAATTTTCATTATCTCTCTCACTCTAACTCCCTTCACTGCCACTAGATGTCTCCTAACTCTTTAAACCACAAGCCATGAGATGAGTCAAACTGACCCTAGATGTGGCTCGACTTTCTCTCTATCTATAGCTGATGCACGTATTTTAAATGTGTACTGGAGGTTGGAAGAAAGGCCATTTGATAACTATGAACTTGTTTTATGTAACGCTGCCCTCTGCTTTAAGACCTAAGTCACATTAAGACCTTCATTATAAAATAGTTTGTATGCAATATAATAAACAATATAAAAATATAAAAAAATATTTTCTGTTTATTTTCCATTCTATACGGCTATACCCTATCATACTGGGGGTATATTTTATTTACCCCCATATGTGACCCATTCTTCCTGCTACAGGTCAAGTACTTCATGAAGAACAAGGAATAATTCCTTTTACTGAGGCACCAATCAGTTTTCCAGAACATGTTTTGGGCCGCCCAAATGTCTTTCCATGGTCTAGACAAACTCCTTCTATGCTAAACCCTCCCTCCATGAGCATTATTTTGAAGGCCTCCTTCTTCAACTTCTCACTGAGAAGTTCTGGGGTAATTTTTGCTTCTTAGGGCTGCAGCTTGGTCCAATGGTCCATTCAGAATCATTTCCCTGACCTCACTTGTTAAATTGGAGAAATCATTTGATAGATGTTAGATGTGAGTTAAATTTGTCTTTGACTGAAGATTCCGCCAGGTGAAAAACCTGGAAGCCTGTTTTGGGCTTACAGAGCAAATCTGATTGGTGCTATATGTGATTAATCCAATTGTATCAGTTATGATGAGAGGAACATGACTCAGGCCTACTAAACCTTGTTTATTGTGCTCATTTTTGTGTGAGAAGCTTGGTGTGGATTGAGTTATTGTGGGTCTATCCTGAGTGAATGATATTGTAGCATGTTTGGATTTATTCTCCTGTGTATGTTTCAGTTTCAGAGTTAATCTATCTTGGATAAACTCCTTGGATGCAGCTCAGTCAACTTTATAACCAACAGAGTTACTGTAACAGTACAGAAATGGGTTTCCGAGCATGTTAGATGATTCTCAGCTGTCTACTACACAGTTTGCTAGAACTTTAGATATAACTTTAGCAGTAATGAGTCAGGAGCATGTTGACCTTCACATGTTTTTTTTTGCATGTTTGAAGCTTCTTCAGCTTTTAACCAATAGAATTGAACTGGAGTAGTATATATGAGAAGAAGGGAGGGAGCAAAGTACCAAATGTACCAAAGCAGAAGAATTACATCTTTATAAACGACCCAGGAACATAAGCTCTAAATCAACCTATTCCATAAATATTCTTAACATAAGGTATGTGCAAAACCTAAACCACCTTTAACATAGACATAGAAAGTCAAAGATAAAAAAAGTAATAACATAGACCTATAACCATAGACCTTATAAACAAACAAAAGCTTTAAATTATTTCAGTTATTTAATGTTCACTATAAAAATTCATTACATAAACTAATACAACAACCCTCTTTTTGTTTTTCCTGTTTTGCTGCATTACAACTTGGAATAAAAATGGATTTTTTTTTCTTGTGGTGATGGGATGTGTTGGATTTGCCCCACATATAGAGTTTCCCATGATGGCCAATAAGTTACATTTTAGGCTCATCTAACCAGAGAACCTTCTTCCATGTGTTTGGGGAGTCTGCCACAAGTGGTTTGATGAACACCAAGATTTTTATGCCAGAAAAAAAAGCCTTTTATTTGTCAGTCAACCACAAACATAGTTCTGGAGTTTGTAAAACACTTCTACAACTGACTGGAACAATGGTCTGTGGTGTGATGAAACAAAAATTGAGATTTCTGCCCACAAACACTTAAGATAGGTTTTTGTATAAAAAGAAGGATGGCTATAATGAAAAGAACCTTATCCCAACTGTAAAATAGCGGAGGACTGTTTTTCCTCCAAAGGCCCTGGACATCTTGTTAGGGTACATGGCATCAAGGACCCCATGAAATTCCAGGACAGTTTAAATCAAGATGTAATGACCATCTCAGTCCCCTGACCTGAAACCTGTGTGGGAGAGAGGGCTGAGGACCCTGAATGATTCTGTTCAGAGGAATGGTCTCAGATGACCTGCTCTGTACAGTGTCTCCAATCTAATAAAATGTAATAGGAGAAAACTCAGTTCTGTTTTATTGGCAAAGGGAGATTGTACAAAGTATTAAATGCAGGGGTGCCAATAATTGTGGCACATGTGTATTTGTTGAAAATTATTGAGGGATTTGTTTTTCTCTGAATAATTGTTTTTCAATTAAAGGTTGGATTTTTCTCATTTTTTCAGTGTGAGATTAAGCTCCTTCACTAGAAGGTGGATTTTTTCTAACCCTTTTTCTAATCTTTACAAGGGGTGCCAATAATTCTGGATGGCACGGTACAGTACTGTATATATAATCTATAGTAATATACAGTATCTATAGTAAGCCTAGTGTAATTCATTTTGACTGGAGCTATTTCATTATTAATTTTTTCCTGAACCAACCAAATCTATGGTCATGAGCTGCAGCAGGTCAGAATAAAAGAGCGGTCCAATATCAAGTATTTATGTTTTAACTAGGGCTGTCAAAATTAACGGGTTAACGCGGATTAATCCATCATCATGATTAATCTGATTAAAATTTTTAATGCAACTAACCTATCTGCAGCGCAGAATGACTCAAAATCCCTGAAATGTCTCTGTCAACCCATTTCGGGCAGTTTTGGTACGTTTCATTTGCCCTGGGAACTCGTATTCCGAGTCGGATTCCGAGTTTTGAAGCCGGAAGTGACGACATGCGCGCTCCCGTTTCTCGGAGATCCGAGAAAATTTATCAACAGAAGGGAAAGTTGTAGTTCTATACTGTTTAACTACTACTTCTCATTTGTGATTAATCTGATTAAATTTTAATCGTTTGACAGCATTAGTTTTAACATAATAAATAAAGTTAAATGTTGAGGTTATTTAAACCAGGATTTAATGTAATAGGTTTACTATTTGTATAAAAAAAATAAAAACATCAATGTCTATCCAGGCACAAACAGAAAAATAAAAATATGAGTCTTTATTGTGAATTGTTTCATTATTACCTACATTTTGTTGATTTGCAGGTTATGTGAGATAATTAATCACATATAAAACATATATTTCAACACAAGATAGAACTATTACTGATACAAATATCAGATTCTGCAAAGCCGTTTTATTTAAAAAAAAAAAAAGAGAGAGGCAAAAGGCCTAGGAGAAGGAGCACAAAGACTGATAAAAATTCTTGTGTTGATTCGGAGCCTGAGGCACACAGGATTCTGGCCTTTCTCAAAATGACGTGTTTATATAACAAGCCGACATGACCATTATAATCTAACAGAGATCATTTCAGTTCAGGTTTATTCATGTGCACAAGCACAGTGTACAGATTCTTATTGAATATTCACTCAAACATGCTTATCTGTGTGTCATGTGAAAGCCACAATATTGAGATTAACTGCATAGACTGAAATGAAATGAAAATGATTAGTTCAATCTAAAGGTTTGCCATGACTTCACCTTAACTGACTGGAAATTGTGAGCTGTAAACACACTAATATCTTTCTATAGTTTTGCCCTTTTTTATAGGCATAAGTTTAATAAGTTCCTGCTTAGAGGAATACATGTTTATTGAGGGTGTTTAAACTATTGCACATGACATCCATCCATCCATCCATCCATCTATCTATCTATCTATCTATCTATCCATCCATCCATCCATCCAGTTAATTGTTTAGTTTAGTTTAGCTTCTCTGTTAATTGAATATAAAGTACCTGTGCCTTAACATTTGCAGAATTTACTGCAAAGTTTGTGTTTAGTTCTTTTTACTTCTTTTTACTTCAGAAAGTATTTTACTCATTACCAAGTCTTCTATTTAATCAAAGTCTCTCTGGGTTTGATCTCTGAGCGTGGTGCATAAGACTTTATCAAACTTTATTCCTGATCGCCATCAGATTCTTAGGCTTTATGCCATTTACCTGGCAAAATATGAATACTATCATGAAAGAAGAATTCAGATTTTGAGGAAATGAATTAATCTGTACAGTTTGGTATACTGGACTTTTTTGAAATGTTGTACAGAGAGTGTATGTTACAGTGACCTAAAATTGTGTCTTTTGCAGCATGTGGTCTTGTGTTGTCATGAAGGAGGATGATGTTCTTTTGTGAATGGCCGCTGGATGATCGTAGTTCATTGATTTTTTTTCCACTTAATTTGATCAGTTGATCAGTGTCAGTTTCTCCAGGATGGAGCAGCTGGTAATAAAGGCGTATGGTGATTTAAGGGTGATTGGGACATTTTTTTAAATTCTGCGTTATGTAATCATTCTTGCAATGAATTAAAAACATCAGCCCAATGTATGATATATTTCTGTAACCCTACAGATGTTATCTATCCATTTGTGAAAGAAATATAATTATGTCAGAAGAGAAGGTGGTGTGACATACACTTTAGTATAAACTGAGCCAAAACAATTTTTTTTAGGAATGTTTGGGTGATTGGGACACAGGTTTTGGGTGATTGGGACATCATGTATTATCATTAATCTACACATATTTATTCCTCATGTTAGCTGTTTGATGTGTTATAGGCCAGAATTTCATTTGTTCTGTTCATAATTAAGACTAGGCTGGTTAGGATTGTTTATTTATGTTCAAGGCAAAACTTACTGTTAGATTTGGTGTGTTTATTAGGGCTAATTAGCACAGCTAGCTATTGCACAAACCTTTGATAGCAACATGAATACGGTGTACTACTGTAAGATTTTTGTGGTTGATTAGGGGTTGCACAAATGAGGAGGCATACAGAGCATACACAATGATTTTCTATATAAAGCTTAATCTTTTTCTTGATTAGCATAGCTTTTTAGCACTGTCCCAATCACCCAAAACCATGCTGTCCCATCCACCCAAATTGCGTTTGGGTGGATGGGACAAAATAAAACCCACCTAATACTAAAAATTAAAACATGATATTAACAAACTTTTTACTAATTTTGTTGCAGTAGTACATCATATTCATGTTTCCATCAAAGGTTTCTGTTATATTTTAGATATAACAATTTTATTACCTTATTATGAAAACTAGCAAAAGCTTATGTCATTTCCTCACCTCATGTGCTGCAGCATCAACTTCCTGTTTGAGGCTTGCCCCGCCCAGTGAGATGATGTCACACCAATGAGGGCATGCAATATTGATTAAATAGTCTCAAAGCAAGGACTTGGCCAAAAAAACATATATTTTCACTCATCAGGCAAAAAAATAAAATCTGTATGGCTATACTGTCCCATTCAACCTTATGTCCCAATCACCCTTAAATCACCCTAATGCTCCTGTAATGCAGGTGTGAAGTCGTTGAGTGATATTTCTCTCTGAAAGTGCATGTGGAAGCAGCTACCAACTTTCAGAATCTTTCCCCATTGCCTTCAGATGCCTTAGAACAGTAGAATGATCCATATTCAAACATCTCGCACCTCTCGAGTCCATTGTGTTGCATATTCGTTCTACAGTGTCTGCAGCTCCTTGTCTTCCGTTTCCTTTGGTCTACCACTCCCTGGCTTATCATCGACCTCCAATTCACCTTTTCAAAAACTTGGTCTTTTGCTTCAGTTGAGTTTTTTCCACTATTGAATAAGAATAGAAGGCAATGTTGAATATGAAAATTGTTTGGCTCTGTGCTTGATTGATAAACGTTATGATAAATAAAAGTTTTGATAAATAAAGATATTTACTAGGCTACCAACTTATGTAACACCCTAATAGGTCATGGTCTCCTCATTTTTGCTTTTGGCCTAGTCCAGTTCACATTAACTGCATTTGGCAGACGCTCTTATCCAGAGCGACTTAAATATGTGCTTTAAAGTTTCGATCTGTGAATACATTCAGATACTGGTTCACTAGAACCCAGGTTAAGGATGCAATCTGTTAAGAGACTCTATTGGAAGATAAAGTATTAGATTTTATTTTATTTGTGGAGGAATGCTAATCTAAGTATTTCTGAAAGAGGAAGGCCTTTAGTCTTCCTTTGAAGACAGCCAGTGACTCAGCTATTCAGACATCTAGGAGAAGTTCATTCCACCACCAAGGTGCCAAAACAGAGAAGAGTTTAAATGCATGTCTTCCTTGTCCCTTGACAGATGGAGGGATCAGTCAAGCAGTGCTGGAGAAGCACAGGGAGCATGTCTTTGCTGTTTGAATATTGGCCATCCATTGCCTGATCTCTGACCTTGTTTTTGTCTCTTGGCTTGGATTTGTCTGCAAGCTTTATATGTAATTTTTGTTTACCTGCATCTGAGTCTGTTTCTGCTGCTTGACAACTTGCTATCATTGTTTTTGCAGTGTATTATTTTTCTACATACAGTAAATCTGTAATTCTTTCCTCACTGTTCCCAGAGGATGTGAATTTTGTATCTTTGTCTGAGCCTTACATTTGTCCCATTATAGCATTTAATACATTGTGTTATGCTGATATCTGTGTTGTATACATTTACAGCAGATGAAGTGTTAAGTATTTTAGCCTAATGTCTCAAGAAATGGAGAAAATCTCCAGCCTACTTTAAGGAGTGTTGTGTGTATATGAGTGCTGTGTGTATGAGTGTTGTGTGTATGACTGCATGTATGAGTGTTGTGTGTATATCCCAGTGCATTGTGTTTCCATGGAAATTAATGTGTAAATGATTTTTTTCCTGAATTCCCGTGAACATGAATGTGAAAGTGAGAGATAATTAGATATTAAAACCCACATGTCTCAGGATATCAAAATCACTTCACACATCAGTGATCTCCTGTTGGTTATATTACAACACTAAGTCTTTAAAAATGTGCACTGTGGAGTTTTTATTTGGAAAAATATTCAATAATTTCACTCAGATATAGTTTCATCAGGGCAAAGCACACATAATGCTCCAATCTTTTCAAATTGGATATGAGTCACTTTCATATGTGATCCTAAATCCAATACTCATCCGATTCGAGGCCATGCAACATGAATGAGATCAGACTCTGATCAGAATTTATGTGGCTTTTTGCCTTTACACATTCACTTTAAACATTTTCTCTAGAAGAAGGATTTACATGTCAAACTCATGTGCATGTGAAAAGAAAAAACAATTACAAACCATCAGTCTGGACTAAGACTATATGTAATATAGTACTCAAATAATACATTGAAATATTTATTGAACACTGGATTTTTGTCGTGCAGCCGGTGCGCGCAGGTCGCTCTCACCTCCCCTTCGCAGCCCTCTGTGCGCGCTCGAGCACGATTTCCGTGTGCATTGTCTGTCTATCATTGTCTGGTTTGTAATCTGTGTTTATTCTGTAGCGTCTCTCTGCCGCTGGTTTTGTTGCATGTGTATGTTTAACGTTTCTATGCCGTATTGCCACCCGATGTCCGTTAATTATTATTTGATATATCTATCTATCGCGCCCGTGCGTCAGTTCCTAGCGTTTCATGCTCAGTGCTTCCCTCTTTACTCTGTATGTACTGTATGTTTATTGTCAGTATTGCCACCGCCTTAGTTTATGATTATGCCCTGAGTTCAGTCACGAAGGTCTAGTGTTCTTACGCCGTGAGTTTTCCTGTTGATGTTCATTCATTGATAAGTTGTCGCCTCTAGTTTCAGTTTCAGTTTCCGTTTGTTCCTGTTTCTGTTAACTCTCACTGATGATCCCTGCGATTGCGTCCATTATTTACACACCTTCCTAATTACGTGATAATTTGATCATATTGTTTATCTTATTGTTCTTGTTATTTGACTCAGTGACTCCGTGTGAAAGTGAGAATAATGCAGGAGGAGAGATTTGTATGATGGTGCATTTGACCTTAAACCAGCAGAAGAGGCGGGTAAGAATCTGTACAAAATATCCTTCTTTATTAATTAACTGCATTTGCATTGTGCAATGTTATGCTTTTAGTAACATCTCTCTCTCTCTCTCTCTCTCTCTCTCACACACACACACACACACACACACAGACACACACACACACACAAACACACTCAGACACACACCTTTTCACTGTTATTACATTTCCCAGTTACTAGTATTTTACTCAAAGTGATCAAGATGAAGAGAAAAGCAGGTAAACACAGCAACAAATTTCTTCCTTTTACAGATCCAGTAAAAACGTAAGAACATTAATGCAGCAGAGTTGTATAGTAATACATGTTTTATAGTCTATGTGCTATTGTATATACATTACCTTGTATATTTAAAATGACAGTCTACTTGAATTGTATGCAGAATGTTTGAAGTATTTTGTTTCAGTTGTAGAACAAATAATTCCAGTTCACTAATCTGATTGGTCCAGTTGTGTTTCAAGGGTGCCAATATTTGTTTTATAACTACACGGGGACGTTTCACTGTGTGTATCACTGTTCAGTACAGTACAGTGACCTCCACAATTACTCTCACACCTTGTTGAAGATTAGAAAAAAACAGTTAGTTAAAGATTAGTTAAAACGCAACTTTTTGTGAAGTACCTTCATCTACTAAATCCAGCCTTTAACTGAAATAAATTGATTCAGGGAAAAAACAAATCTCTGATCTCTGAAAAAATAATTTTCATGAAAAATGCATGTGGAACATTTATTGGCACCCCAGGAAACTATTGTGACCACAATGTAACCGAAGCATGTTTCCAATTTAAATTGTACATTTTTGAGTTGATTAAAGTGTTCAGAAACATTTTACTCGTCTTTACAAGGGGTGCCAATAATTGTGGAGGCCACTGTAGACTATAACATAAATGCTTTTATGGGTTATAAATTTACTAGAGGTATATGACTTACACTACTCACTTGTTTACTGTATACTATAGTACATTAAAGAACGTATATAATTCAGTATATCAAAATATAGTAATATGTGCAAATATTTTTTAATGTATTTGTTAATATATACTGCCTGGATGTATATAACTTTATATACCAATTGTGTAATGGATGTGTAGTATACTATGTAGCATATATAAAGTGTAGTTGAAATAAATTCCAGTTATAAAATAGTAGTGATTCAGTACAGTCTAAAAAGTGTTGTCAAGTTAACACACATTAACTACATCAGCACTAATTAAGCATATTATTTTTTCCCACATATAATAAATGTTTGTTATATGTTTTCGTTTTTTCAACTCAGACCTTGATGGATGTGAACCAAGAAAGCGTGTATGTAAAGATGGAGCCAGAACCAAGGCCAAGATAACACGTGTCTCAGAAGAAATGTGCGCTCAGAGTCCATATGCAGGGCTAGAGCGACACATGCATTTAGAAGCAAAACAAGGAACGTTTACATTTGGAGCTGCAGCTACAGCTAAGATTAGTGCAGGACGAGTCAGAGCAAAGCGGAGCATCGTTTCAGCTGAAGCTAACAGTTCAGATGCTTCTGAGATAGTTGTGACAGAGATTGATGCTGAGGGAAAGTATGCAGAGGGAGGAGCATATGTGCATTTAGAAACAAAACAAGGAACATTTAGATTTGGAGCTGGAGCCACAGCTAAGGTTAGTGCAGGACGAGTCAGAGCAAAGCGGAGCATCGTTTCAGCTGAAGCTAACAGTTCCTCCATAGTTGATATCGAAGGACCATATTCTGAGGCAGAGGCAAACATGAATGTTGAAAGAACACAAAGAAATCTAGAATTTTTAGCTAAGGCCAGAGCTAAAGTTAGTGCAGGACGGATAAGAGTAACAGAGGATGACGTTTCAGCTGAAGCTAGTGGTCCAAATGCTTCTGCCATGTTTGTGGCTAATAATAAAGAAGCACAGATCATGGTCGGAGCTGAGATTGCAAGTGCCTCAGTTTCTGCAGGTCCAGTTGGAATGAAGGTTGGTCTTGGGGTTGAAACCGGTGCTCGCGTTGGTGATGATGGCGCAGAAGTGAAAGTCCTGGGCTGTGGCATGTCAATCGGCAGAACGATGGGAGCTTCTTTTTTTGGAAATGAACTGAAATTTAGGTTATGGTAAAAGAATTGTAACAGTAAAAGTATGTAACTGTTGTTAATTAATCTTTTATGACTTCTTGTATTTACACATTGACTAACTTTGATGATTTCTGTTTAACTGTGGCTTTGAAGTACTTTTTAAAGCTTTTCTGCAATTCTATCTTATCAAGTACAGATTTCAGTTACTTTTTACTTCACAGCTCTTTAGCTCTTTTCAAATAGTAAAGTATTATACCAGTTTTGATAAAAATCTGATTATAAAAATGTAATGATGCAGATCATTCAGCCTGGGAAATTCCTTGCCCTCCCTTGATTTGTAAACATCTTAGTTTGTTGTGATAGTTTCCTGTTTTTATGTATGTATAATGTGAACTTTGACCTTAACTTCACTATGAAGCCTTACAGTTTGATTCCAGATCATCTGCATTTGACCTAGCCCTTTCTTCAGGGCAAAATAAAGATTTCTGAAGCAATAAAGCATTCCTCCAAATGTGTTTTAAAAAATTTATTATTAATATATTTTAAATGAATTATATCAAGTAACACTTTATAATTACTTGAAAAGCATTATTAGACACATTAATACAAATTAATACAAAGCAAAATAAAAATATTGGCATACGGATTAAATTCGAGATCTGAGATACCACTGTAAATAATAATACTGTAATGATGCTAATGTTGATTATTAGAAGAGAAACAATATTATTTTTGAAATTTGCTTGTGTGTTTATAAAACAATTAATGATTTTTGAGATATTGTATCTAATAATGCTTCTCAAATAATTATAAATTGCCAATCGATAGGATTAATCCACTTTAGTATGTTGAGAAGTAATTATGAGCACACATTAATGACATTCAAACTGTTCACTTTTTTATCTTTTTAATTAATAGTCCAGTTGTAATTATGTCTAATTGCAAAGATATATCAATGCATTTTCTTAAAGTAATGATGGAATGTCATTTACTACATCATTCCATATGTGTTATTTCATACTTTTGATGTCTTCAGTGTTGTTCTACATAGAAAATAGTCAAAGACAAACCTGTGAATGACTAGGTGTCTAAACTTTTGACTGGTACTGTAAAGCTATGCCTTTCCAACTACGCCTATGCCTTTCTATTGATTTTTCCAATGTAAATACATCACAACTATTTTTGGTTTAAAAGTAACAGCATTTAAAAAGTAGGAAAAGAAAAAATATCACTTTTAGAGAGATGATCTAAAGGACATCCTCACATTATTGAAAAAAGCATAAAGGAAGACCATTGTGCAGTCGTGTATGTGTTCTTCAGAAAGTAATTTCCTGGCTCACGTGAGTGATGGCGTCAGTGATGCTGAAGGAAATAAATAAGTAATAAAATGAATTAGTGATAACATGAGAAATAACTGGACGTTTAATTCCAGATTAAGTACTGAAAAAGTGAAACTTGTCACATACCTCTCAAGCTCCAACCCACATTCACACAGATTCACTAAAACCTGCAGGTGTGAACGAGTGACTACAAACTGCAGAGAGAGAGAGACAGAGAGAGAGACAGAGGGAGAGAGAGATTAAGTTAGTATGATCTGAACAACTATGTACTGTATATTAATTTTCTTTTTGTGTTAAGGTTCATGAAAACTCATTAAGGTCCATACAATAACAAATCATAAACTTTAACATTAATAATAATAATTAATGTATTAATAAATCAGGAGCTGTTTGTTGATTATGAATCAGAGTGAAATTGACTCTTTTCTTTGGTTTGGTATTTGTTTCGTTTTAGTTTTGAACCTTTCACAGTTATTGTTCCTGCAGCTCTACAGCTCTGCCCTTTGGCTCAGTTTAGCAGCTCACATCTACAAGAAAACACTGCAACCCAAAACACACACCATGTTTAATTCACTTCCTGCACGTGAGCTTGAAATATTACTACACCATATGTTGTAGTCATGACTTTTATGATGTTCTGTTATTGTTTGCTTGACTGTTTCTGGCCCACAGAAGGCAGAACACGGGCTGGTATCTTATTGAAGGTGGAGAACAAAGACAACATGGAAGGAAGTTTGAACTTGGAACATAACATGACTATACTTTAAACATATTTGACATGATTTTTGTTGTGTAGTGTGAAGAGAACAGCAACAGGGAGTAAACAACTATACTATCTTTCAGAATGACTGGTCTATTTGGTCTGCAAAACAACACTGTAATGAAAAGTTTGATCTGTTTAGATATCTGGTCAGTCGGTGAGCTTGTTTGATCACGTCTTTATACACAAAGACATTGTTGATTGCCGATCAAACTTGGAGTTGTGCCCAATAGAGGGCTTTTGTCAGCAAATCAAATACATCCTTAAAATCAGGTACTGTGAGCAAGGCTTAAGCCCCTAATATCACCCATATTTTTATATTTTGCCGTTCTGATAACCCTATAACAAAAAAAAAAACTTCTGGCCTTCTGTGGCGATTCCTGAGCATGTAGAAATAGATAGAAAACAAGTTTCTCTTTGCTTTACGTTTATGTTTCATATGACTGGATAATATTTCTGGAGATATTAAATCCTAAACATGGCTTCCCACTTAAGATGCCTTTTTATTGGAAAATATGATATTTTTATGTAAGAATTCAGTCAGAATACTTTGGTTTTAAGTCACAAGTAACAAACAAACAAATAGAACAAAATTAACAAAATCTGAGACCTGCAGCAAAAATGTTATTCAAATGAACACAGAATGACCCACCTGCCTAAAGAACCAAGCAGGAGAACATCAGAGTGACATTTAAACCAATTAAACACTGCATTAATCACAACACCTCTAATTCACATGTACTGTATATTAATAAGATTTCATTTCATTTAGCATAAATAAAATTACCTTTAGTTATGTTACTATAGCTAACTGACCCAACTCTGATCTTCAGGTCTAAACATCGTAACATCTTTCAGCCTCATTTAGAAATTTTACCACCAAAAACATGCTGGTTGTTTGATTTGGTGATGAAAGAAATGATAAGAACTGTATGAGTGTAAAAATGATAAGAACTGTAGAATACTGTATGAGTGTAAAAAAAACCTAAATAAAAGTGTCAGTTAGTCTGCTAATGTTGTATTATTGCTGATATTAGATGAACACTGTGCAGTGGAACATAAATGTTAATCTGTCTTTATCTTCTTGTTAGCATTCTTACTCAATTACCCTTCAAATCATGTTAGTCAAACAAACAAACACACACACACATCCGTGCTGTACATGTACTGTATACATACCGGCTCCTCCTCCCAGTTAAAGAGATTTTTCCTAAAATGCTCAGCCACGACTTTGAGCTCGTATGTGCGAGTCACCTCACGTTTTTCAGTCAGAGCTCCTGAAGTGTTTGTGCGCTCAGCAATCTTCTGCAGTGCTTCATCCACTGTCTTCCTCTTCTACAAATGTGACCAGAAAATTTAATCTATAAAGACATCTAAAGTAACTGTTTCTAAAATTCAATTGTCTTTTTATATTACATTCATTCATCACAAAACTATTGCTATTCATTTTCATTTACAAAATTGTCTTGCCAATCTTTGCTAAAAAAAAATATAATTTGTCACAGTCCCATCTCTATCCTCCATATTCCCTGTGGTTTGCCTATTCCTCTGTTTGGGCGCTTTTCCACTGCACAAAGTACGGTACTGTCGTTACGGTACTTTCGCTTTTCCATTGACTTCCGGTCGAGATCCAGTACCGAAAGTTCCAGTACCGAAAACCAGTTGGGGTACTTCTTTGGTACTTCGGTACTTTGGGGTGGGACTTGCAAACTTATTTGCTGTCGATTAGTTATGCAAATAGCCTGCCGCTGAAACACAAAATACAACCGAAACACACAGCAAACAGTGAGAAATTAAATAAAAAGCAGTAGAAGCAAAAAGATAAAAAAACGTAAAAATGGAAAGATGGACAAACAAGGAAACACAGGCTTAATCGCCATATGATTGGATGAACAGATCCAGCAAGATTTGGATGGCACGACTCAAAATAAAAAAGTATTTGCCGTAATAACAAGCTGCTTGGAAGAAATGGGGCACACGAAAAATACCGAACAATCACAAAAAGCTGGTTGACCGAGCTTCTAATTATGAATCAACAACACCAGTCTCAGCACGTCTTCTATGTTTGAATTCAGCGAAATAACAACTGTTAATACCACGCCGCGCTTTGTGATTATGTCAGTCAGGGGTGGTCACTGATGATGTCATTTGGCGCCGGTACCAGTTTTTACGCCAGTGGAAAACCGACAGAAAAGAAGTGGCATACTTTTGGTACTTTATGGAAGTACCGAAAGTACGGTACCTGGTGCGGTGGAAAAGAGCCCTTTGTTTCACTTCCTGTGTGTTTGTGTGTGTATGTGCAACAGCATTATGTGCATGGCACTCCTTTCACTTGTTGATGTGGTGCACAAGAACCTCTTCTAATGGCAACATAAAGCTCCCTTGCTTTTCACCTATGAATTCCCAGTCTGTTGTCTTCAGCCAATGTTGTAGCTTACATTCTTGGCTGCTTAGGATTTTTATGCCTCTCCCTGCATTTCCTGCTCTGCCTTGCTCTGCATTTCCTGCTGTACCTTGCTCTGCACTTCCTGATGGCTATGTCATTGTCTGTCATGGTCTCGCCACCATGGCCAGAGTTCAATCTCCACTCAAGTCTTGTCTGCAATCCCAGTTATCTCAGCTGTTGAACACCACACTCTTACCACAGCAAATCAGGTTTGATCCTCACATTAGCCAAGCTTATGCCACCTGCTCCCTCTGCCTATTCTTCTTCCCTTAACCTTCCCCGAATCTAAAATTCAAGTATTTAAAATTCAACTACAATTCTAGTATTTAATCATTGTCTGTGTTCTGTATTTGGGTCCCATTTCACAGAACAATCTGGCCCACATGGACCCAGCAGACATGACCAGCATGGACAGATCCTCCAGCACGTAGTAGAATCTCTCCATTCATTGTTAGCCCACGTCCTGCAAATTGCAACCCAGATGCCGCCATGGTCCTCACATCGAATGGTCCAAGAGAATAATAATCAGCTGGAGCTCACACTGCCACTTCCACTGTTTGCAATCGACCCGCTCTCTGCTCAGAGCCACTGCCACTCTGTGAGCCTTTGAGCCCGTCTTCTGCATCGTATATGGGAAGTAGCCAGTAAAGAATGGGCCCTGTCGCTGCCTCCACAACTGTACAAGTACAACTCTACAACTGTACCATGAACCATGAGCCCCACTGCCAATCAGTCAACATTTCAACCTGTCCTGGCAGGAAAAAGAAGTTGTGGACTTCCTCTTCATCCCTCTTCCTCTCTCATAGGTGCTGGGTTCTTCTTTGTGGCAAAAGAGAGCACGCTCTGCCCCTTTATTCACTATCAAGGTCTAATCAATCACCATAAAAAATCAAGTATCTGTTATCCTTGATCAACTCTGCTTAGGAACTTCTCCAGAGAGCTGCTGTCTTTACTGAGTTAGATCTGTGCAATGCCTACCACTTGCTCAGGATACTGAAGGGAGATGAGTGGAAGATTGCTTTTAACTCCCTCTTGGGCACTTAAAATATTTTGTGATGTGCTTTGGCTTGACCAATGCCCCAGCGGTCTTCCAGGACTTGATGAATGACATCCTTAGGGACTTAATCAAAATATTTTGTCTTTGTATACTTAGGAAATGTCCTGATTTTCTCCCAAAACCTTCAGGAGCACATATCTCATGCCTGCTAAGTCCTCCAGCAACTCTTGGAAAATCAGTTCTTTACAAAAGCTGAAAAATCCAGATTACATGCCAGCTCAGTGAGCATTCTGGTGTATATCCTAGAGAAAAGGCAGGTGAGAGCAGATCTACAGTATATAAGATACATGTGGTGGCTGAGTGGGCAGAGCCCACATAACTCAAACAGATTCTTACGATTCACTAGCTGTCATTGCTTTATTATGGAGTATATTTGTGTGTGGGGAGGCTGTTCCCCTTACCAAACTCACCTACCCTGCTACCCCTTTCTGGTGGACTCCAGTGCTGACTTGGACTTCTCTGAGCTCAAGAAAAAGTTCACCTCTACCCCATCCTAGTCTAGTCCATCCTGAACCATATCCTACATTTTATTGTAGAAGTGGATGTCTCTGATTCTAGGAAATTGGGTTCAGTCCTCACATGAGCCAAGCTCATGCCTCCTGCACCCCTTTTTTTCCATGAAACTAAAATTAATACTGCTAAAATTAATACTGCTAAAATTAATACTGCTAAAATTAATGATACTAAAATTAATACTTCATTCCTTTAATCTTTCTCTGTGTTCTATGTTTGGGTTCACTTCCTTGCAGTTCACATCAGTGGTATATTGATGTTGTATAAGAGAAATAACACACTTGGGGATGTGCTGTTATTGGAAAATAATCAACTTTTTAGTGATCACTCCACTTTATCAGACCACCTCTTCACTTAGTAACAGCTACATACAGTGTGCATAATCACAATATAGGACTATGTTGATGAATAAGAATCAGGGTATAGATACTGTGTGACTAATAGGGACTGTAAACAATGGAGTACAGTAGAAGAGGCTTACTCACTTTTTTAAGATCATCATATTGTTTTTCCAGGGTCTGTCTTTTTTCTGGGTCCTGTTCATTTTTTATCTTGTTTTTTTGGATTATCAGTGGAACTTCTGTAGTGTCGACCACATCAGACACTTGGAGCTGGAACATGTAGGTCTCTCTGACAGAGGCCGGGGATTCTCCAAGAAATTCACTCAACATTAACTTCAGCATGATCTAAATAACATCACGTAAGGAAGAATAAATACTACATTACAAAGAAGTTAACATCTGATGCATTTAAACATTGTCAGTGTTAATAATTTGTTTTGCTATGAAACTAATTTTTTAAGGAATTTGTATTGTTTGGAATTTTCTATATTTACATTACTTAATTTACTTTTTATGAATAAAATTAAAAGTGCTCATTTTATTTTTGTTGTACATACCTTGTCCCCATAGTTACATGGTGTCATAGTCACTCCTGCCTTCCTCGCATCCTTACTCACGTTTTTCTCCAGGTAGGAAAACTGCTCTCCAAATGAAGTCGCAGTAAGTTTTATCTTTAGAGTCAAGAGAAGAACAGAAAAGAAATGAATGGTGTCTAATTCAAATACTTTACTAAGATGTAAGAAATCAAAGTACAACTTTGTGGTGTAAAAAATATTTTATTAAAGTATTAATTCCTCAAAATAACTGACTGTGTCCATGTGATGTAGCCAGTTAAAGCTGAAGATATCAGATAGAAAGGTATTTCTTTTCTTGTCAAAGAAACAAGCATAGGTATATTCATCAGGGTTGCATGAAGAAACTGCATACACTGGAAAAAAAGGATAAAGGCTTTTCAGACACATGAGAAAAACACAGATAAACATGTCAGAACTATGACTTTTCAGTAAATAGGTATCATTCTAACCGTTGCTGTCAGACAGCTGATTCAGCATTGATCCAGCATGACACGCTTCCAAATAAATGACCATCTGCAAACATGGACCAGGTTGTACAAAAGATCAGCAAACAAACATAAAAACAAATAGAAATACATATAGATAATTAGGATTTTTTTTTTATTTTATGGTCATTAATATTTCCATGAGAGAGATAGGGAGGAAAAGTGTGTATGGATCAGGTCCTTGTGACGTCACACTGGGTTACAGAGATGTCCTGAAATGTAAACTAGTAGTTGAAATACGTACCTTTGAAAATTTGTGACTCTTTGACATCTCCTTCACTGTGTTAATGAGATCATGTGCGTAAAGCTGTACCAGGAAAAAAAAAATCTTTTATGACATCAGATGCATACAATTATAAGGATACGTTACTGAAAATTGTTCATTACTCATATTAATTTTTGATGAAATCAAAACAACATGATGATGTAACAACTCTACAACACCATGTGCAAAACGTGTATGGAAGTAAAGTAAAAGTAGGAGAAATCTGACTAAACTTACTGTGGAATTAGGAAAGTGAAAGATTCCTTTATTTCCATGGTCTGATAGGTAGATGAAGATAGAATCATTTTCACCACTGAAAGAGAAAAAAATATTCAAATAACCAAAAGATACTGTAACAATTGTTGCCATGAGGTTCCAAAGTTTGGAGAGTGTAAATGAGCTCTTTTTCCTTTAGATTCCTAGTGTCCTTGCTCCTGTAACACCTAGCAAGTTTCCCACATTTTGAGTAGGAACTCCACAATTTGTTGTCAGAGAACATTGCTATGTTATCATTCAAAAATACAAAAAATGAAAAATCGTTTCCCCCAGATATAAAACAGCTCATGAGCCGGCTGATTTTGGTTCTGCAGGAACCAAAATCTACAAACTACAAAAATGAAATGGAGAAGCTATCACACTTATATGAAATTTCTTCTATGGGCTAAAATATCACCTGAATTCGATGTGGAATTGGTGAATAAAGCTGAAATGGTTTTTACCTCTGTATTACTTTTTTTGGTCCTGTTTTCTTGACAGCAGCCAAATCTCCGCACAGTACAGCCAGAAAGTTTCCAGCTGATACCTCCTGATAATGGACCATTTAATATGATTAATAACCTGGTCAGAGAATTTATTTATTTATTACATGTTGCAGAACACAGTCATTACCTCTCCAGTGTAGTCCTTTAGAACCCCAGGGTAAACATTTGGACCATTTGGTACATTGATTATGTTTCCGGGAATGGGATTTCTGCACAAAAATATAAGATAGACAAGTAGTATTATATTTGTAAAAAAATATTCATCATATAATGGTTATAAATAAAACCATTTATTAATATAAATAACTGAGGATAAATTAATTACTGTAATTATGTTACATTATGCAATATTATGCAGCATAGGCACCCATTGTTTTTCTACTTTTTTCTTATTCATCATCATCTTCTTCTTCATCATCTTCTTCATCTAGAGAGGGTGTATATGGCAGCCCATAGACCTGTATAGTAAAACGTTTAAAAGTTTGGCACATTGTTTGGAACAGTTCCTTGATTCTTCTTTCCATGTTTTATGTTTGCATCTTGAGTGCTTTAGCGGCACCAAAGGTTAAATTTGGAGGTGCATGTATTAATGTAGCTTTTGAACCATATGCCTGATGTTAAAAAAATAAAACAGATGTCTTTGGAATCCTTGTCAAATTCATTAACATACCATGACATCCATTTCTGCCATATAGCATTTTCTGTCATTTTAGATTATTTTAAAAATACATAAAAATTGCCACAGGTCACAAACTTTGTCCAATCTGAAAATCTTCAGACTATATTCATAAAAGTTATTTATTGGCTTTTTGATTTCCCAAAGTGTTCATCCATTACAGCAAATCAAATTAATCACCAAAGCTACCAAACAGGAAGTGAGGAGACCTCTTCTCCATATGACTCAGAGCGCTCTGACCTGTATAAGATCACATATCTCACATCAAATATCTTGTGCTACGATGTTTGACTTTGTTCTGTTTAGGACATGTTTAGAATATCTTTAGAATCATCTTTGATCTATTCTCTACTTGCGTTAGTTCCTTGTTTAAACACATTACTGAAGTACATGTTATCTACAACCTTTAATGATGTACCCTGACTCATGATCTTTTTACTATAAATGCCTCTAACCCAGGGTTATTCAAATCACGGTCCTCGAGGTCCGAGCACTGCTGCTTTTCCAGTCTTCCTTTACCTGTCAGTCAGGTGTGAAGCCTCTGGCCAATCAGAATCAGTAATTATTAAACTAACTACCTGGGAGAACTGAAAACAAGGCCTGGATTTGGAATCAAGGTCCAGATTTGGAGAACCCTGCTCTAGACTCTGACAATAAAAACGAGAACCTGTGTCTGTTTGCTCATTCTCCAAGCACTTCACATGAGAGAGAAAGAAAGAGAGAGAGAAGGTTGCTTAGTATGGTGGAGATTTGAACCTGAATCAAAATACTTACAATGTGTCTGGCAATACCATGGCAGGCCTCAAGGCCACCATATTGCATTATATCAAAAGGTTTACAAAATTTTCACAAGCCACAAATTTTTGGCCAATCTTCACCAAATTTATCAGACATGATCTTTGAACCAACGCTCACAAAAGTTGTGTGTCGACTTTTCAATTTGCAAAGTGTTCATCCATCACTGCCAATCAAAACCAGTGGCAAATCTGTAAATCAGGGTGTTAGGACTGCTTGGACCACTCATTGCTGCACTATACTCACTGTTGATTATAAGCAATATCATCATAGACCATCACCACAATCTGCTCATCTGGAACACCATTATGGTGAGCGACCTGGTAAGCATGGCACACATTGGCCTGAAACAGAGATGATAAAATAACAGATATTATTTTACTGAGTTTTAAACATAAAAACAATTTAAAAATTCTATCATATAACGTATATTAAAATTACTTGTGTACAATATCTAACACTAAATGTAAGCCACTGCATTTACTGTAGTATTCACACCTGGACACCGTAGTCTGTCCAACCATTAGAACCTGCTGCCAGGAGAACCCACTGTTTGCCCTTGCTGGCCATGTCAACACCCCTGCAAAGCAGAATATCAGGTGTCATTTTGGGCCAGCAAGTGCTTTGGCAAAAGCATTATTATTTAAATGAATTATCAAAAAAATTTTGAAGCAGAGTTTCTGTGCATGTTTTTCTCATGTCCGTGTGGGTTTTCCGCTGGTTTCACCTTTTGCCCCTAAATGTGAATGAGTGCGTGATTGTATAAATGAGTATAAATGATTGTATAAATGAGTGTGTGAATGAGTGTGTGGTGTGTAAATTCCATCCCAGGTGATCTCCCACCACACTCCCAGAGTTCCTGGTATAGACCCCGGATACACCACGGCCCAGACTGGGATAAAGAACTTACCGAAAATTTGTATATTTAAACAGTTATTTAATTATTTTATTGTACTACCTTACTGTTGAATTCAGCAGTTCAGCTGCAAATCACAACTTTATAGTAATTATATTAATAAGAGGAATAAAATACGCACTTATTATGTAAGGAGATGTTTATGTAACATTTATGGAAGGAGTCTCCTGTGTCAGCCCGTTGTAGGAAAGCTGTAACTTTAAGGTTCCTGACATTTTTCAGACAGAGGAACAGTTTTATTTTTTTCATTATTAATACATATAAGAGAGAAAAAGAAAGATGGTCAGGGAATGACTGTTTATAGTTGCTATAATGTAAAAGTAGAACAAGAACTATTTTCTTTCATGGAAACTCCACAACATGGTTATAATGTATGGTGTGTTGTTTGATAGTTAAAAATATTAATCATTGATAAATTGCAGCAGTTTAAGGAGAATGAAACACTCATGGACAGAATGTTATAGGGAAATAAATCACACCACTCATCATCATCGCACGTCATTCAGTATTTTAACACCAAAACATTCACATAAATGAGTTGTTGGGAAAAGTGACCATTGATCTTAAACTTGAATTATCTTTCATTAAGTTACAGCATTCTGCCAGTGAGTTGTAAAGCTGATTTTTCTTTTTTAATTTCTTTTGAACTATATTATTGGTGCTGAATAAAAAGTAGAAATGTGTTGATTCTTACCTGTTTTCTCTCCTGTGATGGCTTCAGTTTAGCGTTAGTTTGAGTTTGTGTCCTGAAAAGGTGCATCAGGAGTTTTTATATCCAGCAAACGTCCACTTTCGATTCATATCCCAAGCTGTCAGCAGGTTTTGATTTTAACAGACCTGGAAACTCAGTGCATCATACACAAAACCTATTCATTAAATTGGGCTGGAAATACACTGGACATGTCTAATGATACTATATTACGTAATAGAGATTGTATTTCCTGTATGTGTATAAACTATGTACAATAAACTACATTTTGTCAGTGCAGTAAATGCTCTATGTAATAAATGTGAGGGTCAGACAAAGTTATAATCTGCACCCCCTCGGGGAGGATTTATTTTCAAGCTCAAGCTTATTTGACTCTTTTACTTTCTTCACCTCTTTCAGTATCGTGTGTCACTCTTCCGTATGATGCAGAAAAAGAGTCACATAATAAAAAGAAGGAGAAAGTTGTTATTTATGATTCATTTCATGTGCATTACAAAATTACCCACAGAGGGAAGAACAGTGATGTGTGTTATAATGAAGATCTACAGCGCTAATGATGAGCTGTTTCAGTAAGTGTGCCGAGACTGACAGAAGGTCAAAGTGCTGCTGCTACACGTCTTAAAACATCAGATGAGCCATCAAACTCCCTGCCCTCGGGGTTAGGGTTAGGGTTAGGGGAACTCCCATTCCCTTACTCCACCTTAACAGACCTAACACTGGACACCATCACAAACAAATTAAAAGAGTGCTGTTAGGTGGCTGCTCTGGTCTACCAAGACACTGCTAGGGTTCTTCAGAGTTTGATGTTGTGTTATAGCGGGTGGTTGCCAGAGTGTTGTTAAGTGGCTGCAAATTTATTTCCTTCATATTCCAGATGATTGCTAAGTGGTTTCTAGGTCATGTTATAGTATTGCAGGTGGTTGCCAGGTCATGTTATAGTATTGCAGGTGGTTGCCAGGTCATTTCTGTGGTATGAACTTCCCTTCCCCTGCACCACTGCTAGACATTTAATCATGTATGCTTGTTTTCAGTTTGTACATTGATTAGTTTGCTTATTTTTATTTTGTTTTCTGTTTAGATCTTTGCTTGATTTTGAGTATCATTAATTCATGAAGTTCTGTATCATGCTCTTGTTTTCTGGTAGTTCTTGGCCTGAGGGTTGTTGTTGTTTTGGTGTTTGTGCATCATGATTAAAATATTCTGTATCCTTCTCCTCTCTTTACTCTTACATGACTTGTATCACAAGGTGTTGCTAGTTTGTTACTTGATTTCTTTGATATCACAAGTGGTTGCTATGGAGTTTCTAGGGGTTGTTAAGGTGTCACCAGCTGATTGTTATGTTATCCAATGCGGTTGCTATGTGGATAGAGATATTATGTGGTATCTTGGGCAGGGCCTGTTTTGTGGGCGGAGCTTAAATTGGATGCCATAAGCGGGAAGGGGGCGTATCCCTTTTTCTGATTGGTCGAGAGGTTATGTTCATATATGATATCATTATGATCATACATGCTTATGCTATGGTTGCGAATATGGGGATTATGTCCATATATGGTATCATACATGCTTATGCTACGTGATAAGGGGGGGCACATGGTTTGGGTTGCCGTTAAACTTTAATAGAATAATAGAATAAAAATTAAAATATGTGTTTATTAATGTGTTATTTTTAATTACGTTTTAAGAAATAATAAAACATATAGCAGGATGAATGTAAGGTAGCGCGTACACGGCCAGCGGGAGTTCCATCCGTAGTAGACACAAGCGCCCCGGGGTATTTTAAAAGAAGAAAGCACTTAAATTCATTACATTTAACCAACATGTTTAAAGAAGAAGAAAAACTTTTTATCGATATAAATGACTGCAATAAAATAAATCACCGATTTGACTCACACAGCCTCAGTCACTTACTAACCTCGTCCACTGTGTGTGCGCCTCTCTGTGACATACGCTAAACATTCATCATGCTTCAGTCTAAACTGTACTCTCAGAAATACAGAAGGGAGTGGGAATCAAACCCTGAATTCAAAGGCTGGTTGAAGCCATTTATTGGAGATGCTAGTATGCTACACAGGCATACTGCCTGTATTGTAAGGCTGATTTCTATGCCAAACTGAGTGATGTAAAAAAACACATAACTCAAATACATACTCAAAAGGCAAAACCTTATAACAGTTCCACCCAAACCACACTGCCATCAATTGTTAGAAAAACTGATTCGGCAGAAAAGGCAGAGGTCACCATGGCATTGGCTATCGCTGAACACTGTTCTATGCTGGCATGTGACCACACTGGAGAAGCATGTAGAGCTGCTTTCTCAGACTCCACTGCTGCTACCCACTTCAAAATGCACAGGACAATAAAGTGCACAGAAATGATGAATGGTGTTCTAGCACAATACATTCCAAAAAAGTTGGCCGCAGATGTGGGTGAGCATCGTTTCAGCCTCCTCCTCGATGAGTCCACAGATGTAAGTAGGGATTGTGATAAGGTACTTTAGTGACACCAAGCAGACAATTGTGTCAACATTTCTGGGGCTTGTTGAGTTGGAGGGAGGAGATGCTAGATCTATAGCCAGTGCTCATTTAAGTCAGCTCCCTCAGTTGCTGAACCTAACATAGAGGACCTTGACCAAAATGATGATGACCCACTCTTTCTGTGAGCCAGCACAGCCTGTGTGTATGTACTCTACCAGAGTGTCTCTTTGGGGTCACTTTTGCCGGTCCCAAGCCGGATAAAGGAGGAGGGTTGGAATTGTGATATATAAAAAAACAAGAATCGACAAAAGAAAGTTCATTTGTAGTTCTAAACATATTTAGGGTGTTTTTAACCACTTTTTGTCTCTCCCACGACAATATTCCTCCCTCCTACAGCGACCATTACAATTACATGCATATTGCACATTATGCAAATGAGCCTTAAGGAACTCCGGGCGGATCTCACCCACCTCCGGGGCCCGGCCACCGAGGAGCTTTTTAACCACCTCAGCGACCTCCGCCCCAGAGATAGGGGAGTCCACCCCCAAGTCCCCAGACTCTGCTTCCTTGGTGGAAGATGTGTCGGTGGGATTGAGGAGGTCTTCGAAGTACTCCCTCCACCGACCCAAAACGTCCCGAGTTGAGGTCAGCAGCACCCCATCCCCACCATAAACAGTGTTGATGCTGCACCGCTTTCCCGCCCTGAGCCGCCAGATGGTGGACCAGAATATCCTCAAGGCTGTCCGGAAGTCATTTTCCATGGCCTTGCCAAACTCCTCCCACACCCAAGTTTTTGCCTCGGCGACCGCCAAAGCCGCGTTCCGCTTGGCCCGCTGGTAACTGTCAGCCGCATCTGGAGTCCCAGAGGTCAAAAAGGCCCGATAGGACTCCTTCTTCAGCTTGACGGCATCCCTCACCACCGGTGTCCACCAGCGGGTTTGGGGATCGCCGCTGCGACAGGCACCGACCACCTTACGGCCACCGCTCCGGTCAGCCGCCTCCACAATGGAGGCACGGAACATGGCCCATTAGGACTCAATGTCCCCTGCCTCCACCGGGACTTGGGAGAAGTTCTGCCGGAGGTAGGAGTTGAAGCTTCTTCTGACAGGGGATTCCGCCAGACGTTCCCAGCAGACCTCCACTATATGCTTGGGTCTGCCAGGCCTGACCGGCTTCCTCCCCCACCAGCAGAGCCAACCCACCCCCAGGTAGTGATAAGTTGACAGCTCCGCCCCTCTCTTCACCCGAGTGTCCAAGACATGCGGCCGCAAGTCCGATGACACGACTACAAAGTAAATCTTCGAACTGCAGCCTAAGGCGTCCTGGTGCCAGGTGCACATATGGACACCCTTATGCTTGAACATGGTGTTCATTATGGACAATCCGTGACAGGGACAGAAGTCCAATAACAAAACACCACTCGGGTTCAGATCGGGGGGGCCGTTCCTCCCAATCACGCCCCTCCAGGTCT